GTAAATATTGAGTTTCGACTGCAAAATGAAAGGCTGTTCAAGTTAAAGTGGCATCTGATGATGACGGACCATTCCATCATATTCGAATACAGTCCTGCCCACCCAATCCCATGTAACCTCCCTGATGTATGTATATGTTTTTGTGTGTGTTTGTTTCGGTTATAAAACAAACCCGGAAAGAAAAAACTCAATTCGAATTCAATATTATTATCGCTCTCTCTCTCTGTATCGTTGACAATTCCCTCTCAGCGGGTAGGGTCTTTTCCCCCTGATATTTTCTGTACAATTATTGCACGCTCGGCAAATGCATTTCAAAAGTTTATTACGGCACAACATGACCGACCATTCCTCAAGGGATGGACAGAGAGATGTAATAAATATGATTCCGTCTAACCGTCTGAATTTTTTCTGCGGCTGTGTTTGCATTATTACTCGTACGAGTATTTTTGAAAATATTTCATATTTTCCACATTCCACAAAAATATGTTCGTTCCTTTGTCATTGAAAGCCGAAATTATATTCGCATCGCTTGTTCCGAAATAGCCGCAATCCCCACACGCCACTAAGGTTTGTTCGACACAGCGCTTTATTGCTCTGCAGGGCATGCACCATTGATTTTAATTAAGTCCTCTTTTCCCCAAATCTCATATTTACAGAGATGGTGTAAAAAGGACCACAACTTTTTGCCATAACTAGGTACAGAAGCACCGCATTCCGCCCACTGCCCCCAAAATTTAAACTTAAAGTACTTGAAGAAGTAAGATCCAAGTCGGCGGGCGGATACAGGAGTATTTATCCAGCCCGTTTAAAGGGGACGTGTAAAAAAAAACTTCTTGAGGTTGAGATTAAAAGTGTGTCCTGGGTGAGCTTAAGAGAGGACGGCACTAGGTCAAAGAGAACAGACCCCGAATATTTCGGAGTGAGTCCGAAAACACGTTGAACGTAAATTTTACAAACAAGTGGTTGCCTCATGGAAAAAGAGAGTGCGGGAGAGAGAGAAAGAGAAAGTGACTGAAGCTCGGGCAATTACAAAGGAGTTCGTCCTTGAAACTTCCCTGACGAAATTCCCGTAAGAGGCAAACAGTGGTGCTTCTGGTTACTTCTTGCGATACATTTATCTCAGTACTCAATTAATTTATGCAAGTATTTCGCAATAGGTTTTCGGCCATACTGGCTAGCTAATTAAGCGGTTATTACAGAAACTTTTAATCAAAACTCATGTGTGCATTCTCGAAAGTAGTGGGGATTCATTTCTTAAAGCAGAAGGCAAACCCGTCCACGTCCATGTTTGACAAGCGCACACAAACTACCGCGGACCTACACCAACGCAGACCCACCGCAAGAGTCCTGGTAGCCACAACAACGGCTACAATGAGCAGCCTCACAGACTGACGGACAGGCGGTGGCAGGAGGTTGGGAATGGGCTGCGACGGAATCCGCTTTTGTTTATCTACTTTAAACTAACATCAGGCACTTTTGCTATCTAATCCCATCCAACCCGACGGCTACTTAGTGTCATCAGTGTGCCACTCGCGAGCATTCTCAACAAGGACGCTTGAAAGTGCACAACGGTTCGAGGCTGGCGGAAGGGAGGGAGGGAGGGAGTCGGGGGATTTCGGAAGTGGAAGGTCGCCGACGTTAAACGTTTCCCTTCCTTTCCCCTTCAGAGCGCGAAGGCTCGAAGATTCGCAGTGTGCAAATTGAATAATCGTTTGCGCTTCGCAGCATTTACAAAAAGGGTCCTTTTGAAAGTTCCTTTTGTGCTCGCCCGCCGGTCGTATCTATATCTGCGTGTGCTTGTGACTGCCTGCCTCGAATATCGATCATCTAGGATGGCAGAACACACAATTGTTTGGGGTTTATTCGAACGCATCACAAACATTCTGACCGACTTGTCTCAAGAGTTTTCTTTTCGAATTTCCTTCTCCCATTTGAGTTTTTCTTTCTGTTTGGGTTCAGGGCTTGAAAAACTTTGGCTCAATTGTGTGTGCGGCTGCTCTCGTTTGTCAAGTTTGTCATTTGTTGGACATTTATAAGCAAATCCGGGTCCGTCGACTGAGGGTTTTGTTGGCATACACACACCGTGGCGTCGGGCCGTGCGGCGGGGGGGTTTGTTGTGAAACTTTCAAGTAAATGGAATTGAATGCCCATCCTAAACACTCGAATTCAGCTGTTAAAGCTTTCGAAATAATTTACAAGTTTATAAATAGAAAGAAAAAGATTTTATTTATTTAGAAGTAGAAACCGTTTGGGGAAAGTTTATATTTTCAGACCGACCTAAGTCCTGGGTGTGCTTTGTCCAAAAATCACACAAGTCTGAGATTAATTAACAGCCTAATTATTAGTACTTGGGACGGGTTGGCGAAATACTTCAGAGAGACTTTCATTTTGTTTGTTGGGTCATTCTTTCTTCGTTCGCCAGCCAGATACCCCCGATAATCGCAGCGCACACTTTTCACTTACCTGAAACTTTCGCAAACAATCCAGAGAAAAGGAGGGAGCCGAGCCTGTGTGCGTTTAGCTCTTTGCATTTGTCTTTGAGAACACCTTGGCAATCCCCGGGAGCTCGAGGTTTCCCGTCCGAGTTGGCGAAAGCAAACAACCAGCGGTGGGACGTAACTTAACTCCCATTGAAAGTTTTCTTGTGCGAAAACTACACAGTGACCTTGAGAGCTGGCATTCCACACACTCAGAAAAAAGGGACTTGGATGTTAAGATATCAATTTTATATTTCCCAAATATCGATTGGATACTTACATTTTGATATACAAATGGATTCGTTCTTCATTTTCATATCCATATGATAATAAAACGAAATATTTATATTACAATAAATTGGAACCGTTTAGTATCCAAGGGATGTATTGGAAAATGTATAAAACATATTCTTAGTCTTAAAAACAAAACCTTTTTCCATTTTATCTCGGTGTGAACATCGACATTTAATTGTACTTTCGATTAAATAATTAATTAATTTTAAAAAAATCTTCAAAGCTCTGAATCCTATTTAAAATTGAAAATAACTGACCACGGAACAGTGTAACCCGGATAGAGATGTGTGCTCTGAATTTAATGACTGTCCTTTGCTTCAGCGTTGGACATTTCAAAAGATATACGAGTACTCGTATGTATTCAAAATCAATTTCATGCTCAGCATCAATGACAAACAAAATGTGATGTATTTCGGGAGGGGCTTGAAGCTGCCAGGACCTTGCATCCGGCCACGTCTCCGAATGTTTGTCTATGTCCAGGACGAAGATTTTTCCATTTTGAGCCATTCATTTAGCAGTTGTGTGCTATTGTGATTTTTATGTGGCTATAAATTGTCGTCTTTTGCTCCAATCAAGGGGGGGTCTCTGGATCTTGCTGGAATTTACGAGTTTGAATAAAACATTTAGCTATCCATATAAAGAAAGAAAGACGCACTCCACTCTGTCGATTGTTTTCCAATTTGTGTAATTTTTTGTTATTTATTTTGTTTATAACTACATCAATAAATTATGTATCGTATCGTATAATTCATAATCATACTCTTTGAAAGCGTGAGAGCATTTTGGAATTGCAATCCGGCAGCTGGGTTCCTGATTCTGGTTCTGAATCGAATAGAATTGTTCATCTTGGGTCCTCTCCTTGTGGACTTTGCCTACTTCTCCACCTCCGAGGTATTCAAAGAGATTTCAAAGAGTATGCATGTCGAAACATCGGCCAGCCGAAGATATTTTTTAATTTCCGTTAATGATTAATCTGATGACATCGTAGTTTGATTGTGGCTAACAATTAGGGATCGTTTCTCTCTTGCTTTAAGTTTAGTTTAGCTTGATATTAGCTTACTGGCCTCCAGTTACAATATTTTCTCTTTTTTTTTAAGTTTTCTTAGGGGAAAATCTGTTTAGCGATAAGGTTTTCTGTTTAGAAATCTTCAAATGTGATTGGCTTGGTTTAATCGGTATCAGCATCTAAGTGTGCATTTGAGAGCGATTCGTGTGTGTGGGTGTGTGTGTGTGTGTGAAGGTGGTGCCTGGGTGTGGTGCGGAGAATCGAATTAATAAGGCCACTTATCCATATATATATATGTATGTATGTACTCGTATGTATGTATGTACTCGTATGTATATAGTAAATAGTCAGTTATGCACACAAACACATTGAACAATCTCCCAGCTGACCTGCTGTTAGGCATTTCTGATAAACTTTCCCACCCAATCACATCACATGTCATATCGCGTATCGTACATATCTATTGCCCAAAACATTTTCAGTTCTAGGCTTAACTAAAGTGGCCTTTTGGGATACATTTGCATTTGTGTGTGTATGCGGAGAGGAGGTGATTGAAATATCATGACTTTAGTATTTTTAGTATTCGTAAGTGTGTCAAAATGGTGTGTGTGTGTGGATGTGTGTGTGTTGGTTGTGAGATTTTCGAATATTTCTCTACCGATATTTTGTTTAATTAGTGTTTCTTAATTGTGTTTCTTGCGCTATTATTTAATGTTGAACAATATTTTGTTAGTGGCAGCTACATTGATTTTTTTTTGCATACTACTTAGTTCCGCTTAAGATGTAAGATTGGATTCACTTGTGGCTGTTGTAACCTAATTTTTTGTTGGTAGTGCTTCTACTAGTGCTCTTGAAGTTCTGGTTTGCTTTACTACTTTTTCTTCTACTACTCGTGGCTTGATTTCAGTTTGTTCAGACGGTCTCTCAACCGAGGATAAACCAATTAGCTACGTTTGTATTATTGTTATGTTCAGCTCATTAATGAATGCTTTCCCATGTACATTTCCATCGACATATGCTAATAAAAAAACTCCTATTCGGCCCCTGCGGACCAATGGACTCTAGTTCAATTAACTATGTTCGCTATAAACTCGCTATTTACTCGTCTGCTACATTTGCCGATTCGCCTCTTGGCTAAATGTACAGTAACAAATAGACATTTATCTATATATTGTATAGTTGTTTGGGGCCTTTGCGATTAAATGATTCATGTTGTGGGGGGGTTTCTGTCAACAAGTTGGATGGTGCATGGTGTATTATGGGGTCACGGTACGGGTAAGGGCACGGACATGAACACCGACCAGGCAAAGTGCCGGCTGTCCTATGTACAGGATTAGTGGGTGTAGGTCTAGGTAGTAATACAGTGTTTAATTTCTTATGTACCAACGAAAATAGTCTAATTGTCGATGTAAAACACAGGAAATAAATAAAGACCTGGCATATCTAAAAACTAAACCGAATGGATATCTCATCATTAACATTAAACGATATAATTCAAATTGGTTCACGTGGGAGCAGGTGTAGATCAGGCATATTAGCGCCTTTCCGTGGTTCCTGGTTGATGGTCTCTGGTTGCTGGTTGCAGATTGATGTTGGCTGTGGTGTTTAGTGATTGCTAAAGTAGAAGTTGCTGTTGCGTATGTTGCCGCGCGTTCGCCAACGGATGCAGCTGAGTAGGGCAACGCGGGCGGCCCGCAACAGAATCTGGCCGTAGGCGCAGCAGGCGCAGATGCGACGCACACGCTCGGCCAGGTTGCGACGCCGGCAGCGACGGGCGGGACGATGCCAACGGGGCAAGTCCTGTCGTCGACGCCGCAGCTGATGTCACTTGCGGCGTTGGAAGACGCGCCGTAACGCTTTACGCCAGAAAATGCGCTGAGATTTGGACTTTGGATATGGCTGTGACTCCTCCATCTGGGAAACATTTAGATCAAGCATCTCTAAAACATCCCGCTCGGCGTCGTCGTTGATGATGCGCCGTCGCATGGGTGTGGCCGGCGCTGTTCGGACTGTGGATGTTGTATTAGCCGCATGTGGATGAGGTGTGGGCGGTGCTGAGACAGCCATGAACGGTGCTACCGAATAGGGACGAGCTCTGAGCGCTGCCATAGCTGCAGCCGATGTAGACGCAATTGATGAAATGGAGGCCAATGTGGCCACAGATGCCGATGACTCTACAAACGTTGCTCCTGCCTCTCTTAGTCCTACTGCCCCTGCTCCATCAGCTGCTGGCTGGGTGGCACGCAACCAACAACCAGGTGGCATCGTATCTTATCTAAGCCACGGATGCTGCAGACACTCCGCAGCGGTGGCTCGCTTTGCCGGATCGAACTCTAGCATGGGCTTAAGGAAGGAGGCGAATGATTCCGCCTCGCTGTTCAGCCACTCGTACTTCTCTAGCAGCACATCCATCAGACCCCAGGGCTTCAGTCCCGTTATGTTGCGCAGCTCCCCGTTCCGGCTGAACGTCTGCTGGGCATAGGTGCCGCGGAACACGATGTGACGGGGTATGGGGCCGAGCAGCTCTATGATATGGGCTAAGTGATCCTCGTCCCGGGAGTACGTGTCGCCGGAGTGTGGCTCAAAGAGATAGTCTCCCGTGGCCAGCTCAAAGACCATGCAGGCAGTGCTCCAGATGTCTGCCGATGTGTCGTAGCCCGAGCCCAGGATCACCTCAAGTGATCGATACTGCCGCGTCTGAATGTCCTCCGTGAAGTGGCGATCCACCCAGCAGGCATTGCCCAGATCGGCAATCTTAACTTGCACGTTGCACTCCTCCAGAGCCGGCTCACGCTTGGGCCTGTGCTTTGACAGCGGCGGTGGTGGCGCCGGGGGCACTCCCGGATCGGAATATGGTCCATTGGTGGCCGACGAGGAGTTCGACATTGAGTTGCTTGAGATTTTTGAATTACTGTTCGAAGTCTGCTTCGAACTGGAGTTGTTGTTGTTCAGCGGCTGATACGATTGTTGCTCTTGCTGCTTATCCTGTTTAGGTCGAAGCGGCATCTTCTTGCCGTCTGCCGCGCCATTTGATTGTCCCTTAACTGTGCTATTGCTATTGCTGTTGCTGTTGCTGTTGCTGCTACTGCCGTTGGTGTGGACGCCGCTCTTCCCGGCATTGATACTGTCGCCGCTGCTCGTCGAGTTCTCAAATTGCTGCTGAGGCTGCTGAGATTGCGGCTGGTTGGATTTGTCTGAGCCAGGAAGAGGTATAGAGGTGACAATTAATAGGTATCGACAGGGGAAAGCGGGATACTTACTCTTGTTCTTTCGCTTCTTCTTCTTTTTGGCTTTCTCAGTATTATCTCCCGGTGCCTGGTGGCTGATGGCCTCCTCTTCCTGCTCCGTCTCCTGCTTGGGCACCACAGGCTGCTCAACAGCCACATCCTCATCATCACCGTCGTTCTCTTCTGGATCTTGTTCCAGCTTTACGTCCACGTCTACGTCCTCCTCTCCATCTGAGATGGCAACATCGCCATTCTGCACCGAATTTGCATTGTGGTTCACGACACAGTCCGCCTGGTCCTCAGCATCATTTGCGTCTGCAGCTGGCTGTCCGGTCTGCTCGAGATAGTCCCGCTGCTTCTTGAACAGCTCCATGCGCTTCTTCGCCTTCTTCTTGAGCTTCTTTTTCTTGTTCTTGCTCATCTTGCCGGTGATCTGGGGCTCGCGATACTCCTTGGGCGCCCGACTGACCAGCGACGGGTACATCTTGGAGTTCATGCAGTACAGCTTGGTGGCCTCCGTGGCCATGGAGCGCACATGCGGCTCGTCCACGCATAGCAGCACGTTCTCAGGCTTGATGTCTGTGTGGATGATTTTGCAGCAGGTGTGCAAGTAGTCCAGGCCCTCCAGTATTTGGCGCGTAATGGCCTTTACGTTGGCCAGCGGTATGCCACGGTAATTGGACTTGCGGATGAGCTTCAGCAGATTGTCGCCCAGCACTTCGAACACCATGCAAATGTGGGTCCCGTTTACTCCACTAATCTTGAAGTCATCCAGCATCTGGACGGTCTTTTGGCGGCGCGGATTGGACGGATCCGTCTCGCGCACCGTTCTGAGTATCTTGATCTCATCCTTGGCCGTCTCGGCAAAATGCGGCGCCGACTTTACAATCTTGATGGCCACGTAGCGCTTCTCCTGCAGATCCCAGCACAGCCAGACGGTGGAGAAGTGGCCCCAGCCCAACTTCCGGATGACATGATAGCGACCTGGGGAGCGATAATGAAATTAATGCTGTTTGTTCTTCAGGGTTAAAGTTCAAAATGGGCACAACACTACCACTCAGAAAAATGAAATCACAAATATTCGCCTCTGATGGCAGCAAATCCATTTTAATCACCCCACTGACACTCCACGACTAACTAAATCGCGAGAGCAAGACTACTCTCCATCGTTTACCCTTGGATTAAATTCAATTAAACGCAGTCCGTCAGCAGTCAGCCTACGCCCCGCCCCTCTGGTTGTGGAACGCCCGGACTGTGGGTGGACCTTTAAGGGATTTTGAACGAGCAAAGTCTGTGAAGCAATTTTAAGGCCCAGGCCTGGGAGCTGTCAATATAGGGAAACGTTTCATTTGTACTTTTAAGGTTTTTGCAACATCGTGAAGCACAACTGAAATATGGGCGGAATGTTTTCACATAACAACATCAGGCGCTCGTTTAGACATTAGTTTTTCGTTATCAGGCTCTTTTATCGCAATGTTGTTGAAAGTTTGACGGGGATTAGCTTTCGTCAGAGCTGCTGGTCAGGCAAATGGATCTGCTGGGGAAAACATGCAGCTGACAGGAGTATATGTGATGACGACTGCGGGGGGCGGTGCTTTCGTTCGGAACGAAAATGCTGCAGAGTGGATGCATCCGAGAGGATTGTGGGTGGATGTCAAAAACGGTGACAGCCCCTTTTTACTGTCACTGTTGTTGCCGTTGTCACAACACGAGCTGCCCTGCCCCTCCCACTCAACGGAAAAGCACCCCCTGAAAAGGGCACAGCAACACGCACGGATAGAATTCGATTTATCTGTGGGAAAGCTTTCGCACAGAGACCCATTGGCAACCTGTTGTTGTTGTTAATCGGTTTTTTGGGCGGAGGCTCTGCCAGGCATCTAATTGAGCACCCAACTGGGAATGGGTGGCGTTGTGGGTTACCACGGTTGAAATGACAGGACAGCAGCCCGAAACCCAATTCGTGTTCGGATGGGGTTTGTGTGTAGAGAGTACAGTGTGTGGTGTGGGGTGCAAACAGGTGCCAGTCTTACCCTGAAAGAGGTCACCAATGTTGACTGGATGGTAGCCACCCTTGCAGTAGTCTTCCTTCAGCTCCTGCTCCTCGTTCTCGCTGTTCAGCTCCGACTCGTACGACTCGTTCGAGGAGCTGCGCGGCGGCTGCTGCTGCTGCTGCTTTTGCTGTTGCTGCTGATTGTGATTGCTCTTCTTGTTCTTCGACTGTGATTGCATTTGCGATTGCAATTGCGACGGCGGCTGATAGTGGTTGGGGGTCTCGGGGGTGCTGCCCGACCCGCCGCTCGACGTGGATGTGGCCGTTGCTGTGGCCTTACTAAAGGATGTGGTGACAGCGGCGGGTGCGATTCCAACGCTGCCAGACGGATGCACTTCGGGCTTACTGGGGCTATTATTAGCATTTTCTGGTGCTGCTGCCGTAGCACAGTTTTCAGTCTGGGAATTCTGCTGCTGTTGCTGCTGCTGCGGTTCCTGTGACGGATTCCCAGCTACCACACCGTTCTGCTTGCCCCGCTTCTTGTTGTTCTTATGACGCTTCTTCTTCGCTTGAATGGTCAAAACGCGTCGGTTGACGTCAGCTTTGGCGTTCATGATGATCTGTCTATTGCTTTTCGCGTATTATTTTTGCTTTTTCCGCCGACTGTGAGTGGCTGTGGCAGTAACTGTGTGTGTGTAACAGCTGTTGTGCGGAGTGAAAAGGAAAAGAAGAAGAAACAACGTGCATAGATCTCAATAAGGCAATGTACAATGTTTTACGCTTGTATTGTGTTTTTGCTGTATGCGCACGCCTTGCCAAAACCAGAGCCAGGCCCAGAGAGCCAGAGCCAAATGGTGGGGCTTTCGTTTCGTCAAAGCGAGCAACAACAACAAAAAAAACCGAATCGTCTACTTGCCTCGGGGCTCCCACTTGTTCCAAATTGACACCGCTGCTGCTGCTTCTCCCGCTGCTTCTGCGTTTGCTGTTTGCCTTTGCTTTGACAACTGGATTTCTGCACGAAAAATCGGGACGAAATTAGCACATTGAACGCTCACGAGAATGTGGGCATCAGATGCCAGCGGCACAGCAAATAGTCTTCACTTCGGCTAATACTATGAAATAGTCGATTGCTTACTATTTTGGTATAAAAATATATGTTTTATTTCATGGAAAATCAAACAATCAGTCGTCGACTACTGCTCTGCTGTGTGTTGTCTGTTATCGAAAACAGGGCCTGCCACTTGGTAAACGACGTAACGTAAGCAGGAACGTCATTATTGCTTAAGGTCTAGCCCTTGCTCACTCACACACTGCGAAAGCCAGCCAGGTGTCTATTGCCGACTCGCTTTCTCCGCTGGCTATGGTTAGTACACACTTTATAAGCATTTTTGCGCAGTGATTACTTTGCCAGCAGCTCGTTTGTTGCCCTGAAAGATTATGGCCAACTTACATGGTTCGGAACGCCTTAACATACTAATCCAATAGCACTTCGGATCGCAAACATTGCAAAACGCTCGGAAATGCAGTCAAAAACGTGCAATTCCACGCACACAGCTAAAAATTCGCAATAGCAGTTTTTTCTAAAACAACCCTGCTGCTATCAGCTGTTTTCTGTTCGGCACCTTGTAATACTTCGTGCGATATATCGATATATATCGCTATGATCTGCGCACTATCTAACACTGCTCAATCGTTTCTTTCAAACACTGCCCGCGTTTTGGCGCAATAATAATTTTTGGAGGGAAATTGCATCTTGAGAAAAGTCGTGGCCCATTTGTAATTTGAGCAGTGCTGTGGCACGACGCGTGTTGACTGATAAAGGAAAAAATAAGTGAAATAAGAAGCAAAGACCGGACGTGCCAAAAGTGAAATAAGCATACAATTTAAACTGCAACTATAAATCAGACCACAAAGAAATGGCTCAGCCATCGGTAGCAGCATTTTTTACTAATCGCAAACGCGCCGCTCTCGATGATGCTATCACAATCAAGAATCGGGTAAGTTGGACCAAAAACGTGACCATCACAGTGCCCAAGATTTCCAGATCAGATACTCTTGTATCTGCACCGACGCTTGTAATTACATTCATTTGTGCCCGTATGCGTTTGTTATTGAGTTTGTCTGTGTGTGTGTGTGTGTGTTGGTGCGACTGCATCATCCTGCGGCCATTTTCGAAAATCTTATTTTCATGGAAACTCTTTTGCCCATTGCAGCGTCTTGTGGAGCCTGCAGAGTCTGCCCAGCCGCAAAGCCCAGCCCCAGCCAAGGCCCAAGATGCAGATATCGACACCCTCAAGGCGGCGGCCAGCGGGATGCGCACCCGCTCAGGTCGCAGCACCAAGCTGATTGTCACCCCTCAAGAGACGGCGAACAAGAAGAAGCCAGCCAAGCTGGAGCCCCACATCAAGCAGCCCAAGCTGGTACAGTTCATTCGCAAGGGGACGCTCTCGCCCAGGAAGCAGGCGGCCACCAAGATCGACGAGGAGCAACTGCTGCTGCCGGTTAACGAGCAGACGCCAAAAGTGAGCTTCACCATTACTAGCCAACAGAATGCGGACAACATGCAACGGGGCATGCGCACGCCCACCAAACAGATCCTCAAGGCTGCCTCGCCCATCAAGCACAGCGACCTGAAACGCCAGCTAACCTTCGATGAAGTGAAGAACAAGATCTCGCGCAGCGCTAAAATGCAGGAGCTGAAGGCGGTCTTGGCCCGCAAGGCGGCCCTCGAGCAGAAGCGCAAGGAGCAGGAGGAGCGCAATCGTCGACTCCGCGAGGCCGGCCCCTCCCCATCAAAGGCGAGCCTGTCCGTGCAGCTGAAGGAGTTCGACACCATTGAGCTAGAGGTGCTGACAAGGTAAGAAGCACAAGAATAGGAGTAATGCAAATTTCCAATGGCATTGCTGCCTTCCACAATAATTTCCAACTGTTTGCTGTGGCCTAGAATCGGCGTAAACAGCGCCAGAGTAGAGTACAGCTGGCCAGCGAAAAACCGGGTAACATCAATACCGAACTCCAAAAGCCCAGCCAAATTGTTGCTGTCTCTGCTGCAATCGAGGTCGCTCTGGGTCGCTCCGAGTCTCTGTTATTCAAGCGTCCAATTGCTGAAATGGCATTTCTCCACCAGAGTAACTGACGACTTGCTCGAGCTATCACTATGATACAACATTCTCGTGTACTTGAATTTATGTTGCCCTCAGCAGCGTGTGTGCATAGCTATGCATGTGTGCTGTGCTATGTTTACCCTTCGCCGACGTTACATTCCGGCCTGACCTTCCCTCTCGCTTTCCCCTTCGGGGGTTGTTTTCTTCCATGTGTATCCTTTGTTAGGATCGTCTGCTGCATGGGAATGTGCGTGCACCTCAGGTAGCAGGAACCTTTTTTCTGTAACGGCTTTCCTGCCCATTCGGGGTGGGTCCAAGTGTTTGGCCTAAGTGTGTATAGGAATTGTTTCGAATAGGAACTGATGATCGTTTCCCATCCCCTGCCATTGCAGCCCCCTGAAGACCTTCAAGACACCCACCAAACTGCCGCCACCCACACCGGACAAGCATGAGCTGATGTCGCCGCGGCACACGGACGCCTCCAAGCGCCTGCACTTCAGTCCGGCCAAGAATGGGTCGCCTGTCAAGCTGGTGGAGGTGCCGGCCTACAAGCGCTACGCCAGCCTTGCGGAGACCAGCAAGGCCGGGCAGCTCCCGCTGCCGTACAAGTATCGCTATTTGCTGGACGTCTTCAAGGGTCTGGACTCGGTGGTGGCCATGTTCCATAACCGAAAGGAGTGCATCACGTTCAAGAAGCTGAAGCCGGCTGTGCAACGAATGCTGCGCAAGAACTTTACCGAGCTGCATCTGGCCCAGATCAAGGCTGTCTATCCCGAGGCCTTCATCTTTAGTCAAATGAAGATGCGGAACTTTGGCTCGGTGTCCAAGGCGGATTACTACCAGCTAATGATCAGCCCCAATGTGGAACCGGTACCGGAGGAGGTGCAGGAGCAGACGCAGCCGCATCAGCGCCACAAGAAGATCAACGAAGACGATGTGCTAGCGTCGGCCCAGTCGACGTCCATGAATCCACATGTCATGACGGCGCGTATGCATCGATTCCAGAACCTTCTGCTCGATCGTGTAAAGCAGGCGCACGCCAAGTTCCTTCGCTCACTGGACCCCCCGATCTTCATTGAGAAGGCGCTGACTCGCTGGCATCCCCAGTTCGAGCTGGAGAACTGTCCAGAGGTGGAGTTGGCTCCGCTGCCCCAGCCCCCGAATGTGGAGAAGTACTCCTCGGCCAAAGACATACTCTCGACGGCTCGCAATCTGTTCAACTGCGCCACGCCTATGGAGAGAGCGATGGACCGCTACGAGGCCAAGGTGGAGGCCGACAAGCAAGCTGCTGATGCTGCTGTGTCCAATGTAACTGCCAACTCCAAGCCTCCAGAAGCGGACCCACAACAAAAGACAGCAGCAACAACAGGGGGAAAGGAAAAAGGAGTAAATGCAATACCCGAAACGTCTACTGCCACGCCTACGGTGAAAGAGTGCCCTGTCCCAGACGCCACTTCAAATCTGCTCAAGGGCTTGCCCAAGTCGCTGATCGAAAAGATTCGGGCCAAACAGGCGGCTAAAGCCCTGGAAGCCATGACAAGGCGGCCATCGCAGGACCAGGAGGCAACCAAGTACTCGCGCCTGCCGGAACTGGCGCGACATTTACGCAACGTGTTCGTGACGGAGCGCAAGGGGGTGCTCACCCTCGAGGTAATTATCAAGAAGATCCAGAACAGTTTCCGGGCCAACTTAACGCCGCAGGAAATTGAGGCGCACCTGAAGCTCCTCGCCAAGGAGCTTCCCGCGTGGGCAGCTTTCCACGAGGTACGGAAGACCATGTATGTTAAGGTCGCCAAGGACATGGACATGAACAAGATCATCGAGAAGCTGGAGAGCATCGCGAATGGAAAGAGCACCTGATAACTGGAATGGAACCCGGTACCGAATCTTAAGAGTCTCCCCATCATTGACCCTGTGGCCACATCCAGCTATATCTTTAAGTACATGTTTAGCTAGCAAATATTGTATTGAAACCAGATTATACCCTACACCTATATATATTGTTATTCTTATATCACACTGACATTTCACACTAAATAATTGACAATTATTTCGCAATCGATTCATCACATTATATTACTATTAAGATCTTTTTTCATGTTGTAATACGTTAATAAATAAATGTTTTTGCTGGATATGTTGCTAATTTAAATCTTAAATTATCTACATTCTGCGAAGGATTGCACAATTGACATGATATCTACAGTTGCACAGTGGCGCCACTATCAATCAGCTGTGTATTTTTCTGGAACTAATCGTATATAAAGATCATATGGTCACACTAGCCAAAAAAAAGCGCCAGATTTTATAGGGAATTACATTTGTTTTTTCTATGAACTAAGTCGATAAAAGCGAAGAAATGGCAGAGAAAGAAGAGGATGTCGAGCTGCCAGCACCCACCACAGCTGTATCCGGCCAGATTAAAGCCATTTCCAAGGATACTGTGCATAAAATATGCTCCGGCCAGGTACATCTCTCGGATTGGTTTTGTTTGATTTATTGTTTGGTTTCCCCCTAATTAGGTGGTGCTCAGTCTGGCTGTGGCTGTCAAGGAGCTAGTGGAGAACTCCATCGATGCAGGGGCTACACTGGTGGAGATTAAGATGAAGGATCAGGGACTGCAAGGCGTCGAGGTCAGTGATAATGGCAGCGGCGTGGTGGAGGCCAATCTGGAGGCAATGAGTAAGTGGTAGCCTCGAGGCAAACCCTAAAGAAATTATAGGAAAAGATCTCCCCAACAGCTGCAAAGTATCACACATCGAAAATAAGGGAATTCGTTGACCTGCTGGGAGTGGAAACGTTTGGATTTCGTGGGGAAGCACTCAGTTCCCTCTGTGCCCTGTCCGACATGGCCATTCAGACGCGCCACCAGTCCACCGATGTTGGTGAGTGTTCGGATCCTTATCGGCATAAAGTCTGGACGATTAATGTTCCCCAATGACAGGTCTCAAAGTGGAACTCGACCACGATGGCAAGATCAAGAAGCGCTCGCCTTGTGCCCGAGCTGTAGGCACCACCGTCACCCTTACCAATCTGTTTAGTACACTGCCCGTGCGTCGGCGCGACTTTACGCGCAACATCAAGAAGGAGTTCGCCAAGATGTGTCAGATCCTGCAGGCCTACTGCCTGGTGACCAAAGGCGTGCGCATCATCTGCAGCAATCAGACGCCCAAGGGCGCCAAGACGGTGGTTCTGCAAACACATGGCGCCCAGGATGTGCTGGCCAACATATCCGCGATATTTGGGGCACGCCAAGTGGCCGACATTGTGCCGCTAAAGTCCCCTTTCGAAAAGGGCCAACTGAGCGAGGTCGGACTACGGGCTGAGCTAGAGTCCTCCGCGGATGCAGCTGACACGACTTGCACACAGTTCAGCGCCGAGGATGTGGAGCGGCTGAACCAGGCCGACTTCCGACTGGAGGGCTATATATCCAGCTGTCGCCATGGGGCAGGCCGCTCCAGCAGAGATCGCCAGTTCTTCTTTGTCAACGCCAGACCCTGCGATCCCAAGAATGTGAGTTTATCGTACCGGGGGGGGAGTGTTCTCACACTCCGCTTATGCTCTGTTTTTCTCTGAATTTAAAGATAGCCAAAGTCATCAACGAGACCTACCATCGCTACAACGTCCAGCAGCAGCCTTTCATCTACCTCAACATTATCACGGCCCGCTCCGACGTGGACGTTAACCTAACCCCCGACAAGCGCCAACTGCTGCTCAACAACGAGAGGATTCTGCTGCTGGCCCTGAAGAAGTCTCTGCTGGAGACCTTTGGACAGACACCATCCACATTCCAAATGCAGAACACAACCATTGTGAGCATGCTGGAACCAAGGCCGAAGCCCCAGCCCGCGGATGCTGGCAAGGCCAGCGAGGAGAAGGATGAAGAGGAAGACGTTCCCATCAGCTCCTCTCAGCGTTTCATGGATGTGCTCACCCAGTGGCGCCGCACGGGAGACACTCAGGGCACTGCTCCGTCCGCTCCGATCAAGCGGCGGTGTGCCGAAAGCGAGGAGTTGGCCACCCGCTCCATGAAAATGCAAAAGATCCAGGATTTCCTCAGCCAAGATTCGCCCAAACACCACAGTTCAAAAGGCGATTCAATATCGGAGGAGGATGTTGTCGATCAGCCGCCAAAGCCTACCAAAGAGCAGGCCAATCTGGATGAGAGTTTCTTGAACCTCAAGGAGCTGGAGACGGAGTCAAAGGGTGAGCATTCTAGAGAGTCTCCCCATTTTACTCACCTTGATTCTCTTACAGCCTACGACCTGTTGACGCAGCCAGCCAAGGCAGCCCGCATTGACTGCAAAGTCTTGACACCAATAAAAAGTCGCCTAAGCATTGCAGAGCCCAAACCAGAACCCACCGGTAGCTCCCAAGGCTCCCAGGAAACTGTCAGCACCATGGATCAGAGCGATGATGACGATCATATCGAGCTGCCCACGCGCATTGAGTTCGATGGCGGCGACGACGATGGCGAGGAGCAGCCGCCAGCTAACTACAAAAGCGGCGAGCTGCGGACCACAATCGAGGAGATTGCAGACAGCCTAAGGAAACAAGAGCAGCAGCAAAAGGAGCGCAGAACGAGGGCTAAGCTGCAGCGCCTACGCTTCAAAAGCGAAATCAACCCAAATCAGAACAACAAGGCGGAAGACGAACTGCAGAGGGAGATCGCCAAGGATGACTTTGCCCGCATGGACATTATTGGGCAGTTTAACCTGGGCTTCATCATTGTCAAGCTGCAGGACGATCTATTCATTGTTGACCAGCACGCCTCGGATGAGAAGTACAACTTCGAGACACTTCAACGAAGCACCCAGTTGGAGTATCAGCGTCTGACTGTGCCCCAGTCCTTGGACCTGACGGCGGTAAACGAGATGGTGCTCATCGACCATCTGCCAGTGTTCGAGAAGAATGGCTTTAAATTTGAGATAAATCATGAGGGTGAGTGGCCATCGGCCATCTGAATGCGGATACTGGTTAAAAACGCTCTCTCATCTGCAGCTCCCGCCACAAAGAAGGTGCGACTGCTGGGCAAACCCTACAGCCGACAGTGGGAATTCGGCAAGGAGGACATCGATGAGCTCATCTTCATGCTGCAGGATGCCCCCGAGGGCACCATCTGCCGACCCTCGCGGGTGCGCTCAATGTTTGCGTCTCGCGCTTGCCGCAAATCCGTGATGATTGGCACGGCTCTGAACAGGACGACCACCATGAGGCGGCTAATCACCCAAATGGGGGAAATTGAACAGCCCTGGGTAAGAAAGGGGACGTCAAATATTTTTGTTGATCTATTGAGATATTCTCCTGAATCCGCGCGATATCAATTCACCAATCTCGGAGATTTCCCGTCCCTGCGTCGTCCCCCCGAGTAAACAGTGAGACTAGAAAAATCCAAGCCCCCATACGGTAGAACAGAAGGGGAATGACAGAAAGGCATACGTTGCGATGTGGAGGCAATATCGCTGAACTACAATGGCGTCAGGTGGCAGGCAAGGCCCCCACCAGGCGACAGATCAGGAGAAGCTCCATAGATCGCAGCCGGCGGCAGCACAGGAACACACCATCCAGCAGAAAAAGGAATCCGCTGAAGAGGATGAGGAGCCGGCGTCCAGAGCGGGCCATCATCCACAGGCAGAGCCTGGAATGCCTGCCATCAACATCAGTGACACGACCAAGCACCACAGGACGTCTAGATCAGCAGGGATGGCCGTGTCTATCAGCTGCCTATCAGCCCTCGTGTCCGCTATTCTCCCGCCATGGCATTCGTCTGGCAGAGTAGAAACGAATCTGGTTTTCTTCTGCTTAAGTATGAATATATATTGTACTTTATTGTAGGACTTTACTTCTAAAGCCTCTGGACACCAACTCCGCCACCTTGGAGACCTCTCGTCCCCGCGTCTCGGGCAGGTAAAATTTGGTCAGCAGAAAGACCAGGAAGCTGCACAGGGCGAACACCAGGAAGACATAGGAGCCCAGCAGTGTGTGCATGGCGGGAAACAGGAAGCCAACGAGGAAATTGCATCCCCAGCCCACCTGGTTGCCAATGGACAGGGCCACGGAACGGGAGGGAACCTCAAACATCTCTGCGTGGAGTGGAAAATATTAAGCAATCGCTAAATAGGAGAGGGGAGGACAGCCAAACCTCGGACTACTTACCCGCTCCAATGAACGAGGGCATGGGAGCCAGGGCGAGTTGGAAGGCGATCAGATAGAGGAAAATGCTAGCCATTGTGCCATACGAGAGCCAGGGAATTTGGGCCTACGTTTTCAAATAAAAAGGGAGTATGAAGATTGCTTGCGTTGCGAGGATGCGGATGGAGAGGAGAGCTCACAGTGTACTCCACCATCCAGCCAAAGGAAAACATGAGTAGGCCGCAAAATGCAGTGGACAGCAGCATCAGGGTGCGTCTGTTGAACTTTGCCATCAGAATGGGACCCATCAGCGAGGTGGCCAGATTGACGTTGCCAGCGGCCAGATTCATCCACTCTGCGGCGCTCGTTGAGAGGCCTCCATTGCGGAAAATTGAAACGGAGTAGTAGAAGATCTGGAAACGACAAATGTTCAATAGGACAGAGGATATCCGGACCTCTTACCGCTGAGCATCCGGACAACTGCTGACCGCCCTGATACGAGCAGAGAAGGATGAGGGGGAGCAGCATCTTTGGATCGCCAAGAACCTCGCCAAGACTGCGGGTTGTGCCTTTCACGGAAGTCTCGTCGTCCATGGCGCGGATCTCCTGCTCTATGCCAAGATCAGTGCCGCGCAGCCTTATCAGCATCTGGATCGCCTCCTGACGTCGCTCTTTAACGATGTACAGCCACTTGGGACTCTCCGCGTATAGGCGGAACGGGGCATAGCACACCGCCATGAAGACCACGTAGAAACTGAGTGCAATGTGCCAGAGCTCTTCGCCGCCGAACAGCGACTGCAGCGTAAAGATCTGGGACACCACCATGCCAATGGAGAAGCCCACGGAGCAGCAAACTCCCAGCGTGCCCCGTTGCGGCAGCGCCGCAATCTCGCTGTGGTACATGGGCAGACACGTGCTGACTAGACCCCCGCCCAGGCCGACCACCACGCGACCCAGCAGCAGCAGCTCCACGGATCGCAGCCAGCGACAGCTGAGAAACATCAGGGCCGCCAGGAGCAGCAGGGAACCACTCAACAGGAAGCAGCCGCGGCGTCCAAAGCGATTGGCCGCCCAGCCAGCGCAGGCTGAGCCAAGGACCCCGCCAATCAGATAGATGGCCACAATGAGGGCCCACAACGTATCCAAAGCTGTAGGGGATATCTCCAGACCATAGTTCTCCAGGAGCATGGCCTGACACCAGGACCGCATGTGCTAGAATTCAATATACTCGTAGTCCAGCTGCTGTACAGCCAAACATAAGACAACATACCACAGCTGGAGTGTTGATGACGCCCATGCAGTAGCCACAGGGCAGGGCGGATCCGATGGTGCTGCCCACAGTGCTCCACACCAGCAGAGCCGTCCAACGGGTCCTGGGCTGTTTCTTGAGCTCCACCAGAGAGCTGGCACTTTCCACCACCTCCATCGTGTTTTGCGGCTGGGACGAAACTGCTTAGCCAGATGCTCGAGAATCGTATTTTATCTCCAATAGGCGCCTCGCGGTGTAAATTTGTGGGATTTATTGGCTCAGACATGGGGACTATGTATAATATATTGCACTTAGGCTAAGAAGATTGGCTCGCAGTGCGTGTGCGCAAGACTTTTGATTTAAAGCCGTCGGCGACGAGCGGAGCAACCTCGGATGGATCGCGGCCGCGAGTCTCCGGCAAGTAGCGTTTGGTCAGCCCAAAGAGCAGCAAGCAGGCGATGGAGAATGGGAGGAAGACCAGGGCGCCCCAGGCATTCTGCAGCGTGGGAAAGGCCATGCCAATGATGAAATTGCATACCCAGTAGACAACGCTACCCAAAGCCATGGCAGCCGGACGCGGGGACACCTCAAACAGTTCTGGATAAGTATAAGGAAGAAAGGATAAGGATTTCGTAAATGAAAAATGTAGCCCCCAATCTCACCGGCTCCTATGAAGAACGGCATGGGCCCGACACCGAACTGATAGAAGAATATGTACAGGAAGATGCAGCCAATGCAGCCCATGGCAAACCAGCTAAAGCTCTCCTGAAAGAACCGCACACATTAGTTCCGAGACTCGGGGATTCGAAGGCCACTCACAATGAAGTAGAGCATCATGGCGAAGAGAAATAAGCATACGGCGCAGAAGAAGGTGGAGAAGAGCATCAGCGGGCGACGATTCACGCGCTCCAACAGGACCGGACCCACCATCGATGTGGCCAGATTGAGGGATCCAGCACCCAGATTGGCCCACTCCGCCGCCTGCGTGGACAGCCCTGCCTTGCGGAATATGGAGACAGAATAGAAGAATATCTGCAAGGCAAGAGAACATTAATGATGCGCTAAAGATGCTGCAGGATATCACCCACCGCATTGATACCCGACAGCTGCTGGCCACCAAGAAAGGCGCAAACAATGATGAGTGGCAGGCGCAGACGGGGATTGCGCAGCACTTCCATGAATCCACTAGCCTCCACCTTGGCCGATGCTTCCAGCTCCATTTCGTTTAGCTCCGCCTGCAGAGCCGCGCTGTCCGAGGAATAGCCCCGCAACAGCTGGAGCTGTTGTCTGGCCTCCTCCTTGCGGCCCTTGACTATGTACAGCCACTTGGGGCTCTCGGGATACCACCGGAATGGGGCATAGCAGAGCAGTACCAGTAGCCCAAAAAAGGACAAGGCAATGTGCCACCGATCTTCCCCCCCAAAAAGCGACTGTAGGCTGCAGATCTGGGCTACCACCACGCCTGCGGTCAGGCCCATTGCGCAACACGGAGACAGAGTACTTCGCTGGGAGAGGGCGGCCAGTTCGCTGTGGTACATGGGCATGAAGGCGGTGACGAGGCCCCCCGCCAGCCCCACGAGCAATCGGCCCAGGAGCAGCAGCTCCACGGATACCAACAAGCGGCATACAGCGAAGCAGACGGCACCAAGGGCGAGTAGCATACCGCATATGTAAAAGCACCCGCGGCGTCCAAAGCGGTTGGCGGTAGATGCGCCCGTCATAGAACCGATGGCTCCACCCACCAGAAAGATGGAGACGACGGCCGACCAGAGCAACTCCAGGCCCGAGGCTCCCAGGTGAAGATCATATCGCGCAATCAGAGTTTCGTTGCACCAGGAGCGCATGAGCTGGGGAGGATAACGGTTTAGGATTATGGAACCTCTAAGTAGAGAGCTCCTCTTACCACGGCGGGGCTGTTCATGACCCCAGTGCAGTAGCCCACGGGCAAGGCGGCTCCAATCGAGGATCCAACGCAAGCCAAATTGAGGGAAAAGCTCCATTTGGGCTGATCCTGCTGGAAGGATTCGCCGGCCTAGTGAATAAAGCTATTCATCCAAGAATTTGCTCATCTCACCTGGGTCTGTTTCTTTTCGTGTGCCATTAGCGGTGCCTCTGCCTGACTTAATGATTGCCCCTCCACGGGTTCGCTGGCTTTTGCCTTTTCCATTGCGTTGATGATTTGCGGAACGGGTCTTTATGGGGGCTTCTGTGGAGAAGAATCACGCTGGTCAAGAGCTCCATTCGGAATGCTGCGATCATATTTCATTTTCAAGCACCAGAGCCCCAGAGCCCCAGGCCCCAGGGAGATTAAGGCACGTTTATGCGGCGCCGAGAGATAACCGCTGCCAAAGTTATCCAAATGTCAAAAGAGGCTTACAGGGGCGGACCGCATCGCGGGGGTTGTAATAATCTGGGTAGTTCGTTTTATCAGGTGATAATACTTTAAGTGCCTCAGCGGGTGCACTATCCATCGATCCATCCATCCCCATTGCACTCCACAAATAGCGCAATCCCCTTCCGACTGGCATAATTTATAATGGGCCAACTGAATCTCTATTCGCAGAACTGCCCGCACGGTCGCCCCACCATGCGTCATCTAATCAATATCACGATGCTAATGGATGAGGAGGAAGATGCTGATGCGGCGGAAGACCCGGCCCACCAGAAGTCCCAATAAAAAGCAATCTCGGCAACCACAGATTTCGTTTTATGGTTTATTTGCTTTGTAGTAGAATGAAGACGTGGGTTTAGCGGGAGTGGAGGTTGGAGGCACGACTTGACACGTGCACGGACTATCGGGCTATCGGGGACTAAACACTGATAGTGCGGAAGATATTAAAGCCGCTGTGGGCAGTGGAGAGCAGGACGCCCGGCAGCTGCGCATGCCAGTGCAGCTCCTTGATCTCCTTCTGGCCCTGGTGGATGAAGAGCAGTTGCGGCGGCAGCTTGTTTACCTCATCCTCGTTCTGGGCCTGGGCCTGCACCTGATCCGCATCCTTCTCCACAGCCAGATCCCAAAGAGCGATTTGATCGTCGTCACCGCCCGAGGCCAGGACTGTGGCTTCGCTGGGGTTCCACTCCACAGTGGTAATGTGATCCGTATGATGCTTGAAGGTAGCGATGGGCTTCTGGCTCTGGAACTGGCGCAAGTCCCAGATGTGCAGGAAGCCATCGTCGCCGCCGCTGGCGATAAAGGGCTCTGTGTGATTCCACGAGATCACGTTAATGTCGCTCTCGTGGGCATCCTGGCAGGTCAGCATGCAGGCCTTCTGAGGCGCCGCCCGGCAATCCCAGATGCGAATGGTCTTGTCCACCGAGCAGGATGCGAGGACGCTGCGCTCATTGGGGCTCCATTGCAAGTCCTCGACAGATTGTGTGTGCCCCGCCAGCGGACGTTGGTCTACCTTCCAGGTGCCGTCCTCTAGAGGACTCCAGATGTGAATATCGCGACGACAGTCGCCCGTGGCCAGCACACCCTCGGCAGTGGGACTCCAGTCCAACGCAAAGCCCTCCTGCTGGTGGCCACTAAAAGTGAACACCGGACGGGTCTCGTTCTGTTCGTATTGCTTGAGGAGCTGCGCATCCTCGACAGCTTGCAGCGGCTGTGTTAGATTCCAGATGTTCACGCGGCCGAGCTCGCTCCACGAGGCGGCGTACACTGTGTTGCCCAGACGGCGGGCACGGACACGGTTAACGCATCCCTGATGCTTAATCAGGGCGCAGGTCATCTGTGGCTTCTTCAGCTCCTCCTTGTCGGGCACATCGTCCTGGTCGTCTTCCAGTACCTCATCATCGTCCTCTGCCTCATCGTCCTGGGTCCTGTGCAGGTTGCTCATCTTCATCACAATCAGATTGTTGACATGGGTGCGGGCCGCTTGTGTGCCCGCCACAATGTAGGCGGTCATAGGGAATGCCTCGCGGCTCTTGCCCAGCTCATCCGGAACGACATCAAAGCTCAGACAGGGCGCCCCAGTGGAGGCCTGGTGCAGCATCACATAGGCACTCTCGTCGCACACCAGCTCCTCATCCTCGCCCAGTGTTTTGCCCGGCAGATAGACTTCTTTGGGCTGTTTCGGTGCGGAGCCGTCTTCCGACCCACTGTCGCTGTCCGGCTCTATGTCACTCTCGGCATCTTCCGGCTCCACCACCTCCATGCTCAACTCTTCGTTTTCGGACTCCATGGTTTGTTTATCTTCGTTTTTTGTGTTCAGTTTCTTGTTTTCTTGATCTGCACGTGGTGCATTGGTAAACTCGCAGAAGCGCCCCCCAGCGGTGAGAAACAAAAACAAAACGAGTGGAAAAACCCACTCAATTCAACAGCTTCGTCAGCGATGACAGCAGCACTGCCGAAGATCCCAATTTTAAACTATATTGAGTTATTTTTAGTGTGAATATGAGTTTTTATCCCATAAAAAAGCTCATACCAATCGCAATCACACTCAAGAGCGACAGAGCTAATTTTCGCGTAGTAAATATACAGTGTGACCGCATTCATTTTTAACTCATAGAAATATAGAACTTTTTTTAAACACACAGGGTGACCATTTGCGGTTTATTATATAATTTATATATTTAGAAACATCCATACGCAGATTTTCGGAATTTATTCTCTCTCCCATTGAGATTCCGCTGGATGGCACTTATTCACTTTCGAACTTGGGCGCGCAGTTCTAATATCAAGTCGATAGTATCGACAGCTGGATATACCCTTTTGTGGGATTTGCATACATATTCTCTTATTTCACACATAAATCATATAAAATGGAGTACTTAAGATTAGCCAGTACCTTGTACAAAACTTATTCATCAACCGGATCCAACTATGGAATCAGGGAATATGATTTCCGTTCATGGACAGCGAACTATTAACCCATTGTAGACCAGGGGGTATTTAAATGCACTCTTCGAATATTATGCAATTTCTTAAATTTAAGGGCAGTTCAGGTAAAAGAAATTGTGTATATTTTTGATTGAGAAAGTTTTGTGGGGAAAAAGGAAGGATGGTTTTACGAGAAGAACCTACAAACAGTATTGTTTTCCGCCGTTTAACTCAAATTGTTCACCTGTTCATATAGAGGGGGCTTAAGTGGGCTAAGTTCCACTACAAAATTTTTCTTTCAAACATTCCTCGTGCTAAATTATTTTGGAATCAGCGAGAACTTTGCATTTTATTAAAATGGTGAAGTCTGTTAATCCCCTGTCTTTTGTGCGCGGCATTTACAACAACGAGTTCCAATGGTGAGTGCCAAAAGACACAGTGCCCTGTCGGAAGGCTTTACATAATCTGAATCTCCTTTGGCAGGATGCTGGTCAAGAGCTACGCCCTCTTCTTTTTGGGTGTCCGTGTGGCCAAGGAGTTGGTGGGCCTGGAACTGATGCCCGCCGTGGGACCAGCGTAGATACTGACATGAAAACAAAACTGTGTGCGCCGTGTACAAATAAGGCAGTTAAAGTTAACTAGTTTAATAAAAACAGGGGAGAACGACTATGTATTTACACTTGTGTCGAGCTAAGTGATTAGATTAGCTTCTGCTCACTATCAGTTCCTTGATCTTGGTCTCGTCCGTGTCGATCTCGTGTATCAGACTATTGGCCAGCACGCTGGGAGTCATCTCGCGCTGCAGGAAGTTGGCCACCAGCTGCCTGCTGGGCACGGCTCCTCCATGGGCTAGAATCTCCGCTCGGTACCTCTCTCCAGACTGTCTGTTGAAGGGATTACTCTCGAAGTAGGTCTGCCATATCCAGGAGGCAATCGTCTTCGATATCAGATAGGCGTAGTATTTTGCACCGTAGCCGACAAGGTGAGAGAAACGCAGCTGCCAGGCCGTGTTCTCGACATGGGGCAGACCGTAGTAGCGGTTCTGCACAGCCTTAAGAGTCTCCGTGGTGTTGCCGCCCTTTTGGGCCATGTCTCCGTGATACTCCTGATCCAGGGCCGAATAGAAGACCTGGAGCTGTGTCTCGCTGGCAGCAAATAAATGCTTTGAGGCGCACAGCCGTTGCAACATGTCCTCGGAGATGGGTTTGTGCGTCTGGAAGTGGCGGGCGAATGTGCGCAGCACGCGAGGGTCACTGGCGAAGTACTCCATAAGAACACTCGGCACTTCCGCAAAGTCCGTGGCGCATCGCGTGCCCGTCACGTGTTGGTACTCGGTCCGCGCCAGCATAGAGTGCATGGCATGGCCCATTTCGTGGAAAAGATTATCCACCCGTGCCGGCGACAGCAGAGTCGGTCCAGCCCATCGGGGCTGGGCCAGTCCCAGCATAACCACAACGATGGGCAGCTGATAGGTTCCATCGGGCAGCCGCTTTCCTCCTTGGATTGTGAAATGGCAGTCCTGGTTGGGCTTGCCGCTCCGCTCAAAGAAGTCGCAGTATATGTAGCCAAGCAGACCCTCGCTCTCATGCACCACGGCCAGCTTGTAGATGTCGCTGTGCCAGGACTCGCCCGGCTCCATCTCCCTGTTCTCCAGTCGGACACCGTACAGCGCTTGGAGCAGATTGTCCAGACCCTCCATGCAGCCGCCGAGTGAGAAGTACGGGAGGAACTCATTGGCCTGCTCCTCAAGCGACTGTCGCTTCAATTGTGTGGTAAAGTACGGCGTGTCCCAGATCTCGGCCAGAACATTGGGCTGACCGCTCTCCTTCCGCTTCATCTGAGTCATGAGTGCAAAGTCCGCTTCGGCGCGTGGACGCAGTTGATCCGACAGTTGATCAATGAATTCATGGACAAGTTCTGGTCGCTCCATAGTACTGGCATTGAGAGCACGATGAGCGTATGTCTCGAAGCCACAGCTCTTGGCTAGTTCATGTCGACACAGCAGCAGATCCCGCAGCAGCTCCTCTTGGGTCTCAGACGGTTGCAAGTACAATCGGTAGGCGGCCTCTCGCATCTGAACGTTCTCTGCATTGGTGCACAAGCCAGTGATGATGACATTCTCCCCGGAGGTGGGGAAACTAAATGGACATTTCGTGGATATCTTCGACAGATTGGACAGGTTCTATATGGACTCACTAATTCCTGATGGACTCTGGGACATAGCTGCGCGGCAGCACGGAGGGCTGTGCTGCTCCGTTCATGAACTTCTGCCCCAGCTGTAGGATGTAGTCGTTGAGACGCACCACTCGAAGGCGTTCCGCTTCCGGCAGGTGTATTCCGCACTGTTCGAAGTCGAAGAGGAAGAGCCTGGCCACATGCTGATCCACCTCGGTGGTTGGTTTTAGGTCTCCCTGCTCCACAACCTTCCTCAGGGCTTGATAGAGTGGTTTGTGGGTGTTCAAGCTACAGTACGAAACGGTTTTGAGCGGGAAGAGATCTCTTGATGGGCATGAACTCACCTCTCCACCACACCGCAAATGCTGATGCAGGCCTGCTCCGCCGCCTCCATGTACTTGTTCTTTGGGTGGGCGATCCGTATGAACTCGGCCAGGTCGGCTACCTTGCACAGGGAGTCGGAGAGCTCGTCGAATATGTCGACCATTTTGCGTTGTCTTTGACTGGAAATCGCCTCCGCGATGAGATCCTGCGATTTGTTCTCCACATTGTCCCTTAGCAAATAGAAACCTTCGAAGGTGCGAAGCTCGGGCATCCGGAAAAGGCCCTGTACATGAAAAATTTATTAGGATCTGCGCTCTCCAAGCTGAAGGATTTCATGACTCACCACATCCTCGCGGGTAAAGTTGATGCGCTTCGACGGCGGCGCATTGAATGCCGTTGCTAGCGGCGACCAGGTGGAGACTAGCTTCCGGTGCCGCATCGTCATCAGAGTGGCGCGGGTGGAGCTGCGACTCATTTGTAACATAATGCTGATTGAATTGGGGCCAATGAGGATTGTTTACGTCTTTCCTGCTACCGCGTTACATATTCCATCAGCTGTTCCGGCCAGGGCTGGCGACTCTTCTCGTGCACCAAGCCAGATTTACACTTAAATTTAGACAAAATTAATCAACAACTGCGACACCTCGAAGCTTTTTATTTGACATGTTCATTTGTTGGTGCTATCATAGCTATGCATGTACATACAAACAGCGTATTAAATTGTATGTGTAAAATACATACATATATGCATTTTCTATCCATGGTATCCGACCTTTGATCCTGAAAAAAGAGTATGAAAGGTTCGACTTGAGTAAATCTACTTTTACCTGGAATTCACTGTGATTAGAGTTGTCGTAATCTCTTCTGATTGGACATTTATATACCAGAAATAAAGCCCATTTCTTCAGTTGACCAAGTTCACTCGACAACGCAATCATGAAGAACTCTGGGTAAGTCTGCACAAACTAGGGGCGAGGCGAGGTCAAAGTTGTTCGCTAATCTGACTAATCCCTTAGCAAGCTGAGAGGCAAAACCCTGTTCATTACCGGCGCATCTCGTGGAATCGGCAAGGCGATAGCCCTGAAGGCAGCTCGCGATGGGGCGAATATAGTGATCGCTGCCAAGACGGCAGAACCACATCCCAAGCTACCTGGAACCATCTATACGGCGGCTGAGGAGAGTAAGTGAGCTGGTGCAGTCATTTCTGGATGGAGTTTGACCTTTGTATTCCGCACTAGTCGAGCGGGCTGGAGGCCGGGCTTTAGCCTGCATTGTCGATGTGCGCGATGAGAAGCAAGTCCAGCAGGCCGTGGAGGCAGCAGTGGCCAAGTTCGGAGGCATCGATATCGTTATCAACAATGCAAGTGCCATATCCATGACCCCCACACTCGACACGGAGATGAAGCGCTATGACCTGATGCAGAACATCAACACTAGGGGGACGTTTCTGGTGTAAGTGGGCCATCGGGGCTTATCTGCTGCTGGCCGCCAATCTCATTGCGTCCGATCAAACTCCACAGATCGAAAAGCTGCTTGCCGTATCTGCTGAAGAGCGACAATCCGCACATACTGAACCTGTCGCCCCCGCTGAACATGAAGCCGCAGTGGTTCGCCAATCACGCCGCGTACACGATCGCCAAATACGGAATGTCCATGTGTGTTCTGGGAATGTCGGAGGAGTTCCGTGACCAAGGAATCGCCGTAAATGCTCTGTGGCCGCGTACAACGGTTCACACGGCAGCGGTGGAGATGCTCAGTGGCCCAGAGGGGGCTTTGTACTCCCGCAAGCCCGAGATAATGGCCGACGCTGCCTATGCAATTATTAGCCGGGATGCTAGGGACTACACCGGACATTTCTTCATTGACGATGATGTTTTGCTGGATGCTGGTGTGAAGGATCTTGCCAAATATGCCTGCTATCCGGAGAATATACATAAGCTGGCTACGGATATATTTTTGGACGATACAGGACCTTTTGCTAAATTGTAAATTGCATGTATTTTATTGCCATCGCAGGTTACATGTTCTATGGGATAAATAACATAAAAAAGGTTTAATTTGACTCTAATGATTAAACTTTTGGCTCTGTATGGATATTTTGAACTAATGCGGATTCGTTCCGTTTACCGCTAAATTAACTTATAAGTCTAGCGAGGGCTGACGGTTTCAGAAATAGAATATCAAAATTGTGCAACAGGTTAATCTCTTTATTATTATTCTATTACGTTTTTTTTGTTTGACTTTTTAGGCTAAGTCCAATAAAAGCATGTATTTAAAATAAACCAGTTAAGTAGAAAATAGGTTCATTAATTGGATACAATTATGTGGGCAGAGCTGAGAGATCTATCTAGCTAGAAATATTCGACGGAATATCAAAAACGAGGAATATGTATAAAGAACTTGAATTCGTCAGTATATTTACGGTATATTTCTGAGGGTCGGACGGTATATTTCGATAAATCGGTCACACTGAACATCACATCCCTGGCATTTTAATTTATAAAAACTGCGCGTGTTTTTGTTATTTCCTTAATGAAGTTAAAAGTTATAAAAATAAGTTACAAAGTTTAGTTACAAAGTTAAGTTAAAAGTTAAGTCACCAGAGAACGCTGCTGCCCATTTGCAAAGAAGAGCTATTAACTTCTTGTAAAAAAAACGCGGGTATAATCTCGATATGGCATCATGCGTCTTGTACTTCGTATTCCTAATATTTGCGGCTCATAAATTGACTGACGCTGCGAAGTTAAACCACCCGCGAGTGTTGCTTCCCATTTTCAACGACAAACCCGTCAACTTCACTTTGGAGGTGGACGAACGAAATTGCTACAAATGGTGAGAGGCGTCGGCACGGCTAGACCGGCATTTTAACCTCAAAATATTTGTTTTTGTTGTTTGGTATTTTATCGCTACTGGAACGAATTGAAGGGTCGCAAGCAATCACTATGCAATACCAAGATATTGCGCCAGGATCAAATACCTTAAATTCTCCTTTGGGCTAACATCCTAAGCATTGTTTAAAAGCTAGTTCCGTCTACGGGCCGTCCCCCATACACCATCTGGGTATTGCATAGTTTTTAATGTTTTATTTTAGGTTTTAACATGTTTTAACGTCGACTGACGGACACTAACCTTAAATATATTTCAGGACATCTTCCCGCCAAGACCTTATATCTGTGCAACCGGTGTATCATGGCTTCAGCGAATGCGCCTACGAGGCGGTGGTCACAGTGCGGACCCGCGAGCGACGCCGCAACACGGCCATCGTGTTTGCGGAGGATGTGCAGACCGGTGCCATGCTGCGCTGCGACGTGATAGTGGACAAAATTAGCAGTCTGAACGTCCGGACTGCCACACGGCAGCTCTACCTGGAGGAGGCGCCAGCGATCTTCGAGCTGCACGCCTTTGACTCTCAGGGCAACGAGTTCTTCACCCTCGAGGGAATCGAGTTCAACTGGGACATCTCGGAGCATGACAGCAAGAAGCCGCCCGCAATGCGGTTCCTCACCTTCTCGAAAAGCCCCTACCACACTGTGCCCCCCGCCCTCGAGAAATTCGAAGCCGCTGGCATCAAGGGCTACATGATCCTGCTGGAGGGCATCAATACGGGCACTTCAAAGATAACAATCACAATGCCCTATGCCGAGTACAGCAATGTGAAGCCCATGGAAATATATATCAGTGTACTGGCCAATATCATTATCGAGCCTTCCGAGGTTACGATCCTGAAAAAAGACTCCATTAGCTTCCGCATTCTCCAGCTGAAGATGGACAAGCTGCATGACATTACGAAGAGCAACCAGTACTTCCTCGAAGTGGAGGATGCAACAGTGGCCAGCTTGAAGGGCAATACTGCAACGGGAAACGAACTGGGGCGCACCCAGATCATATTGCGCGATCGAAACATGCCGGAAACCGATAAGAACACCAAGGGGCCCAGTGCCCTGTTGACAGTGGCAGAGCCCCATAAGCTGGGCATCAGCCTCCTGCCTCACAACAACTGGGTGACGGTGGAGGGCGAGCGGCACGAGGTGGCCTTCGACCTATACGCTCCAGATGGCCAGAAGGTTATGTTGGGCAGCAAGTTCGACATTAGCTCCCGACTGGATGAGTCTCTGTTTGGCATCATCGACAGAACGGCAAACGGCAGCCGTTTGTATGGCGAAGCCCTGAAGAAGGGTGTCAGCCTGATCCATGGCACATACAAAAAGGTAAATAAATGACGATGGCCTCTCCAGTTCTTTTCTGAGATTCAATCTATTGCAGCTCATGGTGGAGGCAGAGCTGCAGATCTTTGATGAGTTGCGGCTCAAACCCACTAAGGTGATCCTGCCCTACGATCCGAACAGCATAAAGCCGCTCAAGCTGCAGTTCCATGCGACTGGCGGGGACAACAGCTACGTCTGGTTCTCCGGCAATCCGCAGGTCCTGCAAATCGACGCCCAAGGCTTGGCCACTACCGAAATCCGGGACGTACGTGCCTCCACTGGCACGCAGGAGCAGCACGAGGACGGAAACCTGCTGGCTGCCCACACCACCGTCAAGGTGGCCCTTGCCAAGAACCAGAACGTGGCCCGAGTGGCTCAGATCTACTTCTTCTCGCCGAAGCGGCTCGAGATCAAGAAGTACAACTTCGAGACGGCCCTCAAGGACTACGTGCTTCTGCACGTGGCTGTCTTCGGCCATGTCAACGACTCGGATGTGCCGTACACAAACTGCGATAACTTGCACTTCCAGCTGGACTTCAGCCAACCCATCCTGCAGCACGAGAGCAACGGAGAAGCTGTTGAACTAGCTGATGGTGCGTGTCATGTGCTCAGGCTGCGGGCCACTGCCGTGGGCAGCACCTCGCTGCGCGTCTCGTATGTCTTTCAGAACAAAGTGCTTCAGGACGCGGTCGATCTGCATGTGTACGAGGCGCTGAGCGTCCTGAATCCCGTGGAGAATGAGCTGGTGCTGCCCATTGGCGCGTCGCGAAACTTGATCTATGTGCATGGGCCGCGCCGCATCTTTACCCTGGAGGCGGAGCTCATCAAGGCCACAAACTTCAACGGCAAGATCGTCGATGTGTCGGAGATTGAGTTCGACACCCAGGACCCCATCACCTCGTTCAATGTGCTGTGCCGCCAGCTGGGCGAGACGGAGTTCACCTACCGCGTGTACAACAGCCTGGCCACGTCCAATTTCGTCGCCTATAGTTCGACGGTAACCACCAAGGTGCACTGCGTGAAGCCGCGCTTCCTGAAGCTATACGCCAGACAAGAACTGCGCCAGTCGTGTCCCCTTGAGCACCGCTCCTCGCTGGTGTACCTCAAGAACCGGGAGAATAACTTTGAGATCGAGATAGAGGTGCAGGACGCCAAGAACCGCAGGCTCATGAACGTCAGCTCGCTATGGCTGGAATGGGAGTTTGCCTCTGGCGACGAGCGATACCATGTGGACAACATTCCCCATCGTCAGCTGTCCGAGCTGGAGTACTTCCACGGCGTCAGCGTCCCTTCTGCCGAAATCCTCGTCCTCACACTGAACGAGGTGGCGCCGAACTTCCGCATCAAGGGCACGGTGGTCCACTACAACGATAAGATGCTGTCCCATCAGAACATTAACGCGGAGCGCCCTCCCTTTGGGGTCGAGAACGTACGTGTTTCGTGGAACTCGCACTCAAACCAGTAGTTCCTAACTAACAGCCTTTTGTCTTTTTCGCAGCGGAAAACGGGCAGTGTCACTACGCCGTTGATTGAGAACGAGATCAGGTTCCACACGGTGAACAGAACGCTGCTGGCGAAGGATGCAATCAGCATCTACCTGGCCCCCTCGTACAGCGAACGCATCCCCCTGGCCCAGGGAAGCGGCTTCTTCCAGATAGAGCTCTCCGAGTCCGGTATTGTCAATGTGGTGCATGACGAGAAGTCCGGCGGACTGGTGCTGACACCGCTTCGTCTGGGCCATACGCGCCTCGAGCTGACCGACCGCTGTCTGATGAATGAGCCCAGCCATCTGTCCATCTCCGTGGTGGGCATCGGCTCGATCAGCGTGGTCAGCATGGATCGGGTGGAGCGAGCTAATTCCATCGAAGCGATTGTGCAGCTCTTCGACACCAATGACAATGAACTGCACGTGGATCCGTCATATTTGGCTGTCTACGACCTCTCCGAGGTCGTCTTTAATCCGAATATATTGAACGTGCGTCTGGACATGCAGCACAATCTGAGGCCAGGCCAGATACGGTACAGCATCACCGGCAAAAATATCGGAGAGACGAAGATAGTCTTCCAGTCCGGCAAGGGGTCGCAGCAAGTGTCCAGCGAGCCGATCGTTGTCCAGGTGTTTGCCCCGATCCGCCTCTACCCGCGCGACTCCACACTCTTGGTGGGCAGCAGCATCCAGATCTACTGCCAGGGCGGTCCCCAGCCCAACACAAACCTGATCTACACCGTGGAGAAGGAACAAGTCGCGAGTGAGTTTCAATCGTAGGGACCATTAGGGATGTGCCTAATCTCTCGCTCTCTCGTAATTGTCGCTTAGCCATGAGCTCCGCCATTGTCACGGCACATCGCCTGGGAGCCAGCAATATCACCGGGAAGTGTCTGATGAAGAACCCCGTCACTGGCAAGGATGAAGTCGTCTCCCAGGACACCATCGAGGTCCGTGTGGCTGCTCTGAAGGGCGTGGAGATCCGCACACCGCTGGTCCGGATTCGCAGTGGCGCCGTCATGCCCGCCACCCTATGGGGCCAGCCGGACTTCTCGCCCATGGTGCTGGGAACGCTGGAGGACATGCAGATCACCTGGACAGTCAGTCAGCCGGGAATCGTGGAGATATTCAATGTGTTAACCGAAGCGGGTGGGTTGTGTTTTTATACAACGATACGATTGCATATACCGTGCCCCGATACGGCATTGCGGCTCAAAGATCTCAGCTCAATGCCCACCCAGTGCACGAAGAACGAATACTTCGAATGTTCTCCGATGAGCCTGCACGGTTGAGTTCCAGTGCAGGCACAGATACGGAACATACAAATCATCTGATCCCAAAAACTTACTGTATTCCTCGAATACTAACATTTGCCATATATATTTTATAGGAATCGAGTACCAGAGCGGCGACCTAATCTCGGTACGGGTGCGCGCCCTGAATCCCGGCAAGGTCACAATCACAGCGTCTGTGCGACTGGCAGATGGCACAAGGCTGCCCTCCTCCAGCGTTGAGCTAATTGGTAAGTGCCCATTCGGTCGAGCCACTGCCGAGCCACTCACTTCTCTGACCCTCTCTGACAATGCGGTCCGCAAATCGAAATTGTTATCGCAGTTTTCAAAACACTGGAGCTGCTCGGACCCAAGCCCATCAAAATGGACGTGATTCTGGCGGCGCCACACAGCACGCTTCAGTTGAAGTCCAACATCGACGAAGCGGTCTATAAGCTGGATGAGCAGAGCAGCGGCATTGTTAGCGTGACGCCAGATGGCACTGTACACACAAAGGACACCCTCGGACGGGATCTGATAATTGTAAGTGCTTGTGTGATGTTTGTGTGCTTGTGTGTTGGGTTTGGATTGCCCAAAATCGGCTTATTTCCAAAATTGTAAATTGCATTTCCTTTTGTTGCGTCCAGGCCAAAACCGTGGACCAAAATATGCCCATCGGCATTGAGGTGAAGGATGTGCAGTTCATCCTGGTGTCCCTGGTGCCAAACATAAAATTCAGGCAGCCAGAGCACAAAATACCGCGCGGCACGAACCTCGTGTTCAAAGTGTCGCTGCACGACAATCTGGGCAACGAGTTCTCCCACAACATCGAGGACGCCAACGGGCTGCGCTACGATCTGGCCACCAAGGATGTGGTCGATGCCCAGATCGGCAACAATCTGACAATTGCGGTGAGTGTCCAGTGTCCAGTGTCCAGTGTCCTGGCCAGAGGCTGTTCATTTTTCACCACTTTCATAAATCGGGTTCCTGCAACTTTTATGCCAAAGCATACAAAACTTTTCCTTTGTCATGTTTGCCTGGCGGAAAGAGATCAAGCGGAGACAGAAGCGGAGTCGGAGGAAGCCTTTACTTTTGTGGTTTATATGTAAATTTCCACTTTAAGTTTTTCGGGGCAACTTATTTCAATTTCTATTTCTGTGTGCCTCGCCGCCTGGCCGCCACGCTCTGGCAGCCAAAAACCTCTGCATTTTAATGCACTAGATAAAAGCAGAGCTCGAGTCAGAGATGGAAACAGAACCAGAGACTGAGCGAGGCATGCTGCCACCTGAGGATGAGTACGAGGCGACGAGGGCTGCGCTAAAAATCTCCAAATCCGGCCGCATGGCCACGTCGCCACGTAAAAATGCAGCACATGATGCTGACCGACCAGCAGGCAGGCGGATTTTTGGGGCTCTTAAAAGTTGCGAGTGACCACAGGCAGAGAGACCACAAGAAGCAGCAGAGGCAGCAGCTGCAGCAGCACATAATGAAAGCTCCGGCCCTCTCGAGGCACATTCCCTGTCCAGGCACATTCCTACTATTCCTACTCGCATTAAATTCAAATGGCAGCCTTTAGTGCTAAAAGATATTAATTTTGAATGCATACTCGTCCCCCCCCCCCACACACAGCTGAACCTGCAACGCGAGACGAACAACATGATATCCATCAGTTTAAGGGACACGATGCGCGTTAAGTATGCTGAGGACTATATCAAGCTGTCCGTGGTTGAGTCGCAGAACATCTACCCCACCAAGGTGAGTTGGCTTTGCAGTCGAATTGTGCAGCAGATGTGGCCACAGGATGTGAGCAGACAACAGGACAGGACCACCCTGCAATGGTCTTGCAATGCTAAACGTTTCTCATAATTCAATCCGATTTGTCTTGTCTCTTGTCCGCCCCCCGGATGCATGCACAACCCTGTGTCCCACAAAACCAAATCCGCAAATGTTCAACTGCTGCAACCGCATCGCATGCCCATCACATGCATCGCACCGCATCAACCTTCGCCTTTGGCCAACCTTCAACGAACCTTCGTCACATCCACAGACAATTTTCTCTGTGGGCGACATCATTTGCTTCGATTCACCGCTAACGTTGTCATCGATTTGGAGCAGCTCCAATGAGCAGATTGTGACGATTAATAAGCGCACAGGTGAGTAGTTTGCCATCCCCCCTTTTCCCCCTTTTTTGGTACTGTCTCTTTTCTGATTACGATTACGATTACGATTACGATTATGAGGATAACTATCTTTAATAGTCTGTTGAGGGTGGATTTGATTCGGGATTGGGAATGGAATTTTTGTTATTGTTACAAAATTTATGCATGCCCGACTGTCAAGCGTTGCTTGCCCACTGCTGCTGCATGGCATGCCCACTAATCCCGTAAATTGGCCTATATTTCACGTTCGATTTATTGATAACCCAATTAGGCTTGTTTTCGTCTAGTTTAGGAACAACAAAGCCCCGAACCCGGCCATTCTCTGGCAATAATTTGCATTAATTACTTGGCAATCGCGTTGAATTTCCCATAGATTGCACTGCCCCTTTTAGGCAGGAGAATTGCCAGTAGAGGGTTATATTGGATCGATTCAAATAAAGCATAAATCTGGAATCCTTTGAGGGATATTTATGCAAGCTCATTTTGGGGATTATTATGTCGAAGGAGGAAGGTATTCAAAGGAGTGCACGGCCACAAAACCACGTTTGGTCCCAATGGAAAAATTTTGTAATACGAGTACAGTGGCAGGGAAACAATGCTCTAGGGCAAAATTTCCTTTGAGCTTAGAAAGAAAGAGAGAAAGGGGGATTCCTTTTGCTCTCCTTTGCTGACTGGGGATATCCTCATCATACAGTTGTCCTTAGGCCAGTGCCACTGCCACTGCCACTGCCACTGCCAATGCAGCTTCCCCACAAACGCTCACAATTCTAGTTGAGCCATGGCCGGAATACGGGTAAACCCCTTGACAAAATTCCCGACGCAAGCCAGCTAAGCGTAATACATTATTCATGGAAGACAACTTCTGCCCACGCAACAAACAAATGGAGAAACGCAAAGGAAAATACAACTTTTCACACTTTTCACGTAGCAAACGGTGGCAAAAGGCTGGGGAATAGGCAAACAGGCAAACGGGCAAACGAAACAAACAAACAAAAATGGAGACGTTTAACAGCCACCAAACCAACAGACGAAGAAATGTGGGCAAGGCCAAGATGTGATTTCGCTGTGGGTTGTGTTGCCGTTCTTAACTGTGTGCTGCACTCAAGCATAAAGATAAAGTATCTATTGCCAGCCAAGAAGAAGAACTTACCAGGTGAATAGCTCTGAAAGTTTCTGCCAATAAAATGGACTCACAGACAGAAGCACAAGCGGCGGCAGTTCCCTACTTCTGTATGGACACACTTCCCATACAAAGGATCTAGGAAGAAGCAGAACGCGACAGATGCACAATGAATCCTCGAGGATACAGTTGCCAGAAGTCTCCGCTGGGACGCTTCCACAATCAGATTCAAACAATTAAATCATTACAATTCCTCCATCATCTTCGGAGTTCCATTGGGCTTCGCTTCGCTGGCCGCAAACCATGAACTTGTTGATATCGAGACTCAAACTTTGCTTCGAGGCGGAATTCAAAATTTTGCTCAACCTGAAATCGGACCAAGTTTCTCCTATTTAAGCATTGTTTGCTCAGTTACTTGAAGCACTGGCAAAGATGTACTATAGTATTGTACTCGAACTAGAATGCATTGTAGGGGGAAGCGTTTTTGACCCCGTCAAACAAGTCTCTTTATTCTTGTTGTGCCCTCTCATGGGTGTCTGTACGAATAGTAGTATTTCCTACTTATTGCACTTCAGCCATCAGCACCATCTTCAACCCAAGGAAAGTACGAGGGATATTCTCTACAGCTCTCTTTAAAGTTGTGAAACTTTAGATATAGATATTGGCCTGGTAGGTACTGCTGCACGACTTTAATCGGAAGGTTTTCCAAAGCTTGAAGGAGAAGTCCTGCTGCGTTGCGTGTCCCTTGAATGCCTCTCCTTCTATGAGACTTATTGGAAAGCGATTATTTATTTCCTTTTCAATTTTCAATTGACTATTTTGCCATTGTTCAGGGAAGCGACACGAGATCCCCAAGCAATTTATACAGCCAATGTCCTTCCCATCTACAGATTAGTTTTAGTTAAAGTTTTTGTTGTCGTTGCTGTTGCTGTTGAAAGGAGAACAAAAGCGGAAAATCAAAGCCAGCAGTCTTGTGTCGAGTCAGGCAGCCACTGAGTGGGTAATTCCCCAAACAATTAGCCATCTGTTTTCTGGCCGTTGCTTAAAGTTGAATACGCTCAAACAATGAATAATTATCGGGCTGCAGGCACACAACATGTGTACGCTTTCATATGTAAGTACATTATGCGGCCCTGCCCCCAAGCGATGTATCATTCCGTTCAGTCCGGTGAACAATAGTTTAAATTGGCTGATCTTGTTATTACACATTGAGTACTTACTACTAACTCCTGCAACTACCCCTCTCCAGCTCTAGCCCTGAACATTACTTATGCCTCGCTGGATTGGAGAGCTCTTCGCTCATTGGCGCACACTTCACCGCAGAAAGCATTAATTTAAACCACATTTCGTTTCGTTTAGGCATTGCCCGCGTGCTGAACCACCGCCACAAGGTGGGCGAGAAGATTGTGATCACCAGCGGCGATGGGGCCAACCCTGGGGGCTTCATCAAGTACGGTCTGGAAGTGCGCGAATCGGATGCGGTAAGCCACTAGCTGCTGCAACTGCTGTAACTCCTCTCACCTCACCTCACATCACCTTAATCTTGCCTTGCAGATTGTGTTTGCCAAATCGCTGGACATATTCAGTGGATCCGAGTATCGGGGACTGTTGGTGCTGCGCAACCACATGCAGTCCGAGAAGCACAGCAACCTGGTAGGCTGACCCTTGGCATATCCACTTCTGCTAACTCCTGCTAACCCTCTCTCATTCCCAGATCGCTCACAACGCAACAAAGTGTGCCATTCAACTGGCCGATGAGCCCGTGGATGTCTTCGCCTGTCGAGTGGTGGCCAAGGATGCACTCGGCCGGCAGCTGCTGAAGCTCTACAAGGCACAGTCCATGTTTGATGCCAGCAGCGGGCAGTACGTCTGCCGCGTGAAGCTGCTCTCCAGCTTCATCGAGCTGCTGGCCGTTGTCAAGACAAACAATGTCTATTTGGAGCTGCAGGTGAGATCTGTTCCTATTGTCTTCGACAACTCAATCTACTCAAACCATATCTGTACCTCGCTAACCACTATGCTCTGCTCTGCACAGGCGACGATGCCCAGCGGCGTTTTGGATACCATGTCACTGAAATTGGTGCCGGGCATTAAAGTGAAGCCCGAATTGGTCCAGGTGACCGATTTGAAGCCACAGGAGCTGCACATCAGTGGGCTGGACAAGGCGCTGCACAAGCTGCAGGTGAGTGGGATGAACCGCTGCGATGCATGCTTCGGGCTGTTCAGAGACGACGCACTTTGCTCTTATTTGCGAGACAATCATAAGTACAAGTGGGTGGGCCTGAAGGAGTCGCACTAGCACTAGCACTCTGAGCGGTAATAAAATACAGGAAATTGCTTTACAATGTACTCCAGTGATGTTTCCAGCCACTGCCACTGCCATCGCCATCGCCATCGCCATTGCCAGTGGCCCTGGCGGCTTCTTCAAAGTACAATATTATGTACGACAAGCGCTGAGAGTGCTCTTCGAGCTCAACGGAGCGAAGGGACGGACCAGCCGAATACTGTTCCATGAATTTAAAAGTTCCTGCTCATGAACTGTCTGTCTGTCCTTGCCGGCCAGGCAACCATCCATTGTTGCCACTGTGGTTGGGCCGCAAGAATCGCCGCAAGCTGTAGCTGGAGCAGCCGCAGCAGCAGCCGCAGAGGCAGGGGCGGTGCAGAGACATAGCCACAAGAAGGAGCAGCAGCAATGCAATGTCAATGCAAGGCATTCGGAGGCAGCAGGCAGCCAGGCCACATTGTGCCACCCACCCTCCCCTCCTCCGTTCTTTGAAGACAGAGCAGAGCAGAGCAGAACAGAGTCGTCTCGCCCTTGTCTGAAAAATGCAAAATGACAGCATTTTGCTTGACTTCCGTTTCCGGCTAGCTTGAGGCTTTATTTGCCCTGGCATTCAGTAAAATATTAGCTGCATTTGCAGCAACTCTAATTACAGTAAAGTGGCCATTTGAGATATTCAAGATAATTTGCATTTTCGGACAAACCCGAACAACAGCAACATTAATGTAGCTGACTCTGGAAGTCGCCTAGTGATCTGGCTGCGAGATGCGGGATGCGGGATGCTCTTGGTCGGTTGTCACTGGTGGTGATTGGCACTTGAATGCTCAGTTCGCCACTCAAAGAGCATCAGCTGAAAGTTGAATGTTTGTTCTGGAGTGGCCACTGGGAGTGGGAGTGGGACTGGGAGTGGGACTGGGAGTGGGACTGGGAGTGGATGGGCGCTTAGCAGCTGTCATCGAGATGCAATGGCCATTGTCCGTTCGGGCTGCCCGAATAGGGTGTGCTTTGCATTGTTTGAGCTGTCTGTGTTTTTTCCCTCTGTTTGTCTCTGGTGCAATTGAGCGTTTTATTGGTGCAGTACTCATCGGAGAATCGGGGGCAAGCCACTCGAAAGCGGTCCGTTCGTCCGTTCGTCCGTCTACTAATCTTTCTGTTGTGTTCGCCCCGCCGGCGCTGATCGCTTTGCTTTTGATTAATTAATTATTAATTAATTATTTGAAGCTGATGCCCCGGACCGGCATCAGCTTCACAGGAGACAGACCGCAGAAGACATATTATGTGGCTGTCAATTTCAGTGCTCGGTGCTCGGTGCTCGGTGCTCAGTGCTCTCGGCACATTTTTATTAAAATGCACATTCATTCTCAAACAGACGACTGTGACCGCACTGCCCCCCCGGCACGCATGCACGCACGCTGGCAGATGCGTCGATGGGTTTAATAAAAAATACATTGGTCTGCATAATTTTAAATTAATTATTCAATATTCCCTTTCGTGTATTATCGATGGACTAATAAGGACATTTTTCAACGGGTTTCGCAGTTGCTGTTGTCGATGTGCCGGCACTTCCGTTTATTAACAATGTCGATATTTTTTGTCAAGTACTTATTATTATGCATTAATATTATATAAATGGGTGTATGGTTGGGGCTCGTTCCGATGTCAGCAGTTGTTCTCCATTCACATCCGTTGCCGTAATAACTTATTTCTTTCCGCTTCTTTTTTGTTTTTTTTCTACCTATCCATTGTTGGGGTCTCAAGGGCATATTGTAATGGGACTTATGTGCAGCATACATACGTGTGTAAAAACGATTGTTTTTTGTTGGGTTCTATCTCCTTTCTTTGGCCACTTCCCAATTTGCAGTCAGCCAGACTTCTGGCAACTCCGAAAGTCGTATTAAAACAATATAAACCTTACCAATTGGCAATTATTTCAAAGTTATCATAAATTTTACTAATAATCGAATGATTTATGATTTCCAAGTGCAGGGAGTTCCACAGTCGAGCACAATGACTGCCACTGCCACTGCCACAGGGACAGCGACTATTTTGTAAATTGAATAATTCATGTCAGATATTATTAATTTAAATGTTGCAGAAATAGTCAAACAGATGCGTTTGCGATTAAAGTTCATTTGGTAGCATATATTTTCCCTGTTCAGGAACTTTTTGATGAGCCCACTTCAACTCTTGTTTTTGTGCAAATGGAATTTGTTTTGAAATATTTACTCAAGGCTCCGATGGTTGTTGAGATTCCATTGAGAGAGTGTTGGTCAAATATTATCAGTTTAGCAGCAGGTCACAAGGCAAGGAATTTGATATGGGAAGAGAGCCAGTCCCCCCAGTCCCCCAGTCCCCCGGCCATAGACACTCAGAGACCTGTGACTGAAACACATGCAATTTATGTTTCAAGTTTCAACAAAATGCACACAAAAAGAAGTGTGTTCTTTATGCATAACATTTATTTGATATTATTTTTAATTAAATGATTTTGCTGCACATTCAGATATCAAAATTCATTTCAAAACAATGCCATCTGTCTCCCAGAGTTCCCATCACTCTTCCCCCTTTCCCCCTTATGTTGCCTATTGAATTTCCTTGGAAGCTTTCGGCGTGGCAAATGGGGAAAGGAATCATGTTGAATGGGAAACCATAATAATTTTATTATAATCTAAATTAAATGAAATACAACTATTTAATCCGCGGACAGGTCAAACCATCGAACAGCAAATACTTCTCTGTGGATTTCATTGAGCACGGCCATGGCATCGGCAAATATCGTTTGCAAATCTTCGAGGACTTTCCGCTGGATGAAAACTATTACGTACTGATTGAATCCCCGGAAACGGAGCAGATCATCAAGGTATGCTATTATTTATGCTTATATTTTAAAAGAATAGACTCCGAAAGAGAGAACGCAACCATCAAAAGTGCCTTTAAAATGTTGCGCCAAAGTAATATTTCACCAAGAAAATAAGAGAGATACTTGGTCTACGTGTACATATGTACAAGAGCCAGGCTCTTGCGAAGGGTACGACTGGATGTAACAGGCAGAGGGACAGGCTTTCCTCATGATCAACGTCCGTTTGAATGTCAGGATCCCCGGAAGAGGAATGCCCTCGTACCATGGAATGCCATGTAAAGCCATGGTATCCTCTAGTCGGAATAAAGACTATAAAGACTTCCTCCTGTTGTGCTGCGTTTTTTCAATTTGGAACATTTTCTTGTCGTTGCACTTGCAACAGCCAACAGCCAACAGCCAACGGCCAACAGTAGCAGCAGGGAAAAGCACAAATGTAAATACTACGCTGCCACTCCATAGCCATGGCCATTTCTCATTCGGTACCTGATGCCATTAGATAGTGCAAACACGCTGATAGCCAGCCGCGTATCAATTTGTTGTTGCGGAAACTTGTTCTCCCCTCCCGTCTTTCAGTGGCGCCTCGAAGTGAAATACAAATGGTCTTTCCGGGAGGGCCAACGGAATCGAATAAATAAGTTTCGTTTATGCACCCCGACAATGGTCATTGCAACGGACCCAACAAAAGGAAGGAGCAGCAGCAGCAGCAGCGGCAGGAGCAGGAGCAACTGCAACATCAGCGGAATGACGTCTGTCTTGCTCAACCTTTGTCGAAATTACATAAATTTCGGCCCTGCCCGACCTATAAACGCTATCTGAAACCGTTTGGCCTATAAACAATGGCAGAATCGTTAGGTTTGTGGCTGTGTCCAACGCTGGGCGACACTGCATTGCCAATAAATTTTGGACCATATGTCGATGGAACGCATGTTGGGTCATTCGGCCAGCAGAGAAAGTGTCCTGCAGATGTTTCTGCCCGAACAGCCGGAAGCTTACTTCTGATACAGCATATAAAGATGATTAGTAACGGCCGAGTTGGGATTGGACTGTGGGTTCAGGGATTAGCATTATGTCTGTTTATAATTCCGTTTGATTATTTGTCTTTACAGGTGCCCATTGTGGGCAGCACAATGCTGGCCCAGAAGTGCACCGACCGTTCCTATGGCGGACCTCTGATCTCTCGTCTGGTGGAGAATATTGGCTTCCTCGCTAGCTCAGTGGTGATTGTAATCATCTCGATATGGGGTGAGTGTGTACATACCTAATATATATGTATGTATCTATTCTCTATTCTATTGACCGTGTAAATTATGCACAAAACTAAAGTCGGCCCGGCGGAGTGGCTTTGTTAGAGCCGAAGCATCATAAATCATGGGAAAGGACTGGACTTGGAGTCAGTCTCGAGTTGCTGTTGCCGTTGCCGTTGCTGGTTCTGCTTTTGTTGCGGTTGTTTGCAGTTAATCGCAAATTCCATGAATTTTTAATCAGCCCCTGGCTGGAGGAAGCGGAACTGGAAGAAGATCTGGAGAACTGGAGCTGCGGGCATCCTTGAGCGCTATCCTTTGACGCAGACCTTTTCAGTGGTGACGCAACCTGTGTCCTGCGTTTGGGACAACGCTTGGTTAAACCTTGGCCATTTTCCTGCATTTTTACACGCGCAGCAGCAGCAATCGAGTTGAGTCTGGGGTCCGAAAGTTGCGGCAAAGTTTTCCCCTTTTAGGACTCGCTCTTTTGCCATTTTTCAATGTACCTCTGGCTTGTTGGCCACAGCCCCGCGGGGCAAGCAGTGGGCGGCGTCTGATAGTTTTGTACTATCGCTTCGAAAACACTTTACACCCAATAAAAAAGTGAGCAACACAACGTAACACAACACACCACAAAAAAAAAAAACCCAAATAAAAACAGTCATGGCTAACCTTAGCTTGGCTTGGCGCTTACCTTGTTCGCCTGACAAACTCCCAAAAGAAGATAAGAAGTTTCGGTTCTGTTTGGCTTGGGATAGTCCGCCCTTTCGAGCCCTCAGAGGGTGCGTAAACAACCGCAGCAAAGGGGGAGGAGGAGCAGCAGCTATATCAACAGCAACAGCAACAGCAGACCAAATTCTTGATTAATTGCATCTCGCATGCATGGGGGTCCATAGAATGACGCTGCGCGTATATATCGCCAAAACTTTTATTTCTGTTTTTTTTTGCTACTCACTCACCATCTTTCTCCCCCTCCTCACTGCAGTGTACATGTCTTGGTTCCAATCGGAGGGCGTCAAGCAAGTCAACTCTGAGGGTAAGTTTAATTAATAATTTTGAGTGCGCACAGCCCCGGGGCCAGCAGCAGGAGCAGCAGCAGGAGCATCTGGAGGAAAACTAGCTCCAACTGGAGATGGAGGCCAGGCGGCCAGGCGGGCAGGGAGCAGCAGCCACGCACAACTTTGGCTACACTTCTCTATTAGTTTCAAGTTTTTAGTCATTTCGTGCATGAATACCAAAAAGTTTCGGGCAGCGCCCGCGATGCCAGCGATGCCAGCCCGAGCGATAAAAGGCGCCGTCTTTGCACTATCATCATCAGCAGCGTTGGCAGCATTTACAGAATTTCTTATTTATGACTTGAACTTTGATTTTCGAGCACTTTTTTCTGGTCGCGCCCATCGTGATGGAACTGCAGAGCGACCCACCACCGCCCTGGCTGATGCATCAGCTCAAAGCGTGCTAATCATCGCTGGGAAGCTCATTCAAATGCAAAGCATTCAAAGGCGCCCCTGGATACCAGTCGGCGACTGCACTCTATCCATAAATTTATCAAATTTAGATGTAATATGCCAGAGTTCAAAGGTTTTCCTCTGGAAAGTTTCGCGCTAGGGGGTCTGTTACTTTGTATCAGCTTTCTCCTCAACGGAGCCTGCATTGCGCACTCTCGAATTACCTTAATTACAAAATTAGTCTAATTACTCAGGATTTCTGCCCCAGCCCCATCCAGGGCCCCAGCCCCCCTCTAATGAGGGGCTTGCGAGGTCAGCAAGTCGACCCACTCGCGCAGCGCGCGCCCACCCCCCTGCCCATTGGCTGCCCTGCACGTAATTTTCACACTAATTTTAATAGCTAAATTATTTGTTGTTCCGCCCAGTGCTGCCAGGCTTCAAGGACTAATTACATGCTTGGGTCTTAGCTCGGAACGAGAAATTTTTCAGAGAACTCGTGGAGGAAATTTCGATTCCACTTCCCATGTTTTGAGCCCTATTTTTTGTATCTCCTTACAGCTTTCCAGAAGAAGAACTCGAGTCCCACCGCAAGTCCGTCCTATAGGCACCCCCAGTTATACGCCGGTAAGTGCTGGTTTATAAATAGTACGATTGATACATCAGCTGTGACATGCTTTTTCTCTTGCCGCAGACTCAATGACCCCGACGATTTCTCGGAATTATTCTCCTGGCCGTCTAAGGGAAAATCTGGACAGTTCATCGGATTCATTTGTTTACGGCCACCCGCGGCTGAACTCCCCAAACAGATCCGGCAATTCGCCTCGCTTCAACTAGCTTGAAGTTCAAAAGGAGGCTTGATATTGGCCCTGAAGTTTGAGAGTTTGATCTGCGATTCCCTCCTTATTTTTGTTTGTTATATTTTCGTTATGTATATAAGTCGAGTCTAGTGTAAGTTTTGTAGTGCCTAGTCTATAGTTAAGGGGAAACGTAACACAGCTAATGCACATATATTTTCTATAAAAACACTTATTTATTCGCTGAGAGGAATTTATGTTGCGAAAATCCTAAACCAAGAGACTAAATAAATGATTAAGAGTGAAGAATGCTTGTCTGTAAAGCGGAGTCAATATTCAACGGGTTTCTTTTCGGTTAACAGCGCTATCCCGCCATTGTTCTCTTCAAGACCAAAGGCTGTCGGGCACGTGCAAAGGCACTTGAGTTGCTCTGCCACTCTCCCACTTTCTCTCACTCTCACCATCTCTCAGCGTGTTTAAAGTGCCATCGGAGTACTTGAGAACAATTTTTTCAAGCATTTTTTTTCTGCCGTGTGTCCCGCTTCGACGCTGAAAAGCGTGCTCCGATTTTTGTTATATGCATTTCTAATTAGAAAAGCATCAAGTGAAGTATGCCATTAATTTTACATTTGCGCATTTCAAGTGCGGCCCGCCCTGCCGCTGGCCACTTGAGAAATGGGCGAGGTACTTGACTGCAATTCCGAGTCTCTCTCTCGCTCCTCACTACTCACTCCTCACTACTCACTCCTCGCTCTCTTTTTTTCTTTTTGTGGCCCTATTAATTAGTTGCAAAGCTTCTCTGGAACCGGCATTGGGGTCAGGTCAATCGAACTCTTTTGTGTGTGTGTCTGGTGGAGTTTCCCCCCGCTACGACCCGCACTAGCAGCAGCAGCAGCCGTTTGATTTACAGCTTAATCGGGGGCCTGGTTCTTATGGGTTTTCCTGTCGCATCTTTCCATCATTTTAACACAATTTGCTTGGCAGTGAAATGGAAATTTCGTTTCCACTCCCATAAATTATAAATAACTTAATCGTGTCCGAGCGTATTGAACCGTGAGGCCCGGCCGAGGCCTGTGACCCGGCCGAAACGAATCGAATCGAATCTCACTTTCAGGATCTTGAGAGGATTCCAGAGAGTTCGTCGACGCAGTCCTCCACGTTGATTAAGATGCTTCAACTTGACTTCACTCATGTGTTAACATTATAGTATAAGTAGTAATGCGATATTTTCTGGTTAGTTCTCCCTTTCCCACACACCCACCCTTCCTCTGCTTGATTTGCTCATTTCCGGTTCACTGAAATTCAACTGGATTCAACACACACACACATGCATCGATATGCATGTATATTTCCATGTGTGTGGGTGTGCGGTGTGGCAAGCGATATTCTAATCGGATTTGTATGCTTGTACGATATATGAATTATGGCCAGACTCGCATGCGACAAATGCTGCTCATTTCTGTGCACTGGCCACGAGGTAGGTGAATTATTAAACCAACAATTAGCAGTCAAGGTAATTATTGCATATACTATATGAACAGTGCACGAGTGAATTATTAAATATCGAGCCTGCAAACAAGCTCCCAATTCGGAATTACTCCAACGCGCATAAATCAGACCATGATTATGAGTATATATAACAATTGCCGACTTCATGACCCTAATCGGTTGCAGCAGTTAATTAACATTGAATTTCATTGCTATATGGTGAACACGCCCTGCATATCCCAGTACGACTTCCTCCACCCAATTTGATTAATCTGCTGTGCTGCCTCAGAGGAACACCTGCTAATCATTTCATCCGCTGCCTTTGATGTTGCTGCTTTCTAATTAAAACGAAAGCAACAGATAAGGAATCATTTAGACAGCCAAATGGGAGACGAAACATGCGCAGACTTTCCAGCGGCTGATGTTGCAAGTTCTAATTAATTACGAGCACAGCATCCCGCCACCCGCCAACCGCCACCCCGCGTGTGTGAGTGCGGGCTGTTTTCATTCCATTTCATATTTCGTCTTCATACCTACTTGCACGGAACTGCCAATTTTAACCACACCGAGCCTCCGAGAAATTGCAATTATCTTACCCCCAACATATTGCAGAGCTTGTGCCTTCCGACAGGTCCAATATTGGACTTGGCTGGGGAATAGAGCTTCAATGGGAGCCCACTTCCCCAAGGGGCAGCAGACATTTATCGAACATTTCTTGTCCATTCAATGGCAGAATTTCGGGATTCGGGTGGAGAAAATTCGGAAATGCACCCCATGATACAGGAACTAGGCAGGCAGACCCATGCAAAATTCAATGGGTTTGATATTCCAGTACAAATTTGTCACGGCTACATACGGAAGCCAGCTTCCAGGCTCTTTCAGAGCATAATTTGCATAGATTGTCGGACATTCTTGTTCTGCCTCCGCCGAGGAGCGACGACGCCTTCGTAATGACCAAAACAAGAAAATAAATGAATACAATTTCTTTATCTGGAGGACATAAAAATACAATTCTCAAAGGTGCGCTATACATAAAATAAAACTTAATACACGAGTGGGGGAAATCACAAAATGCCCTCGATAATGTGGCACTGAGACTTTGGTGGTTCAAAACTGTCTGGCTACAACTTAAGTACGCCAATCGCTGAATGTTCTTTTAGACTACGCAGGCAGACGTTCGATTTGGATGGTGGCATGCTTCATGCGGTACTCGGGGCCGCTGACCAGCTGCGTGGCCAGCTGCAGGATGTCCTCGCTGTTGCTGCCCGCCTCTGCAAAGGATGGGGGGGGGGAGGTTCAGATGGGGTTCTCTCAGTTGCGGTTTGGGGGCGGGCTTACCTGTGACGAGATGCACCATGAGTACTCGGTGCTCGGCGGTGTGCTGCCACACATTCAGATGATGCACCGATCTGTGAGGGGCGGATAAGCACAGAGTAAATAATGAGCCGCTGTCAACCCACTGCCACTCCCACCCAGGACACTCACCTCACACCCTCGATGCTGGCTAGCTGGCGCTGCAGAGTCCGCAGAGAGAGGTTCTGTGGCACGGCGTCGAGCAGGACGGCGACCGACTCGCGGAAAAGCGGCACCGTCGTCAGAATCACAATCACCGAGAAGAGCAGCGTGCACAGTGGATCCGCATACTTGGCGCCGGGCTGCACGGGTCGCCAAATTGAATTAGCAGAGAGCAGTCAGGGCGTGTGCATTAATTGACTTGTCGTCTAGACAGGGGCAAGAACTCACGCAGAATTTGATTAGAACGGCGGCCAGAAAGACGCCAATGCTCTGCACCAGATCGCCAATCACATGAATCATGGCCGCTCGCAGGTTCAGGTTCTCCTCCATGTCCAAGGGCTGCGGAGAACTCATCTGTCGGCTGTTGGAAGGGGAATCGAATCAGAGTTAATGCAGTTTCAATTACAGCAGCTGTCAACTGAATTAATTTCGAATCACTTGCAATAAACCAAACAATTAGCAGAATACCGCAGTCTGGAAAAGTTTTCTATCTATCAACCGCGCGGATGTTTTTGCTAACTCGAATTCGAGCACCGCGGGCCAATCGCTGTTTCACTTGCCGTTGCCGTTGCCGTTGCAGACGATGAATGCAATTTAAATCAATATTTACCGTTCGTGGTTGGGCCTCCCTCCTGTCCCGATACACTCGAATGGCTTCGAGCCATTTGATATAGCCACATTATGGCCATTTGCAATTGTTGCTCTCGACTCTGTGGCTGCCATCAAAGAGCCGTCGCTGCCTGCGGCTAGAAGCGCGTAGGAGCCCGAACGAGAGTTGGAGTTTGAGTCGGAGTGGCTGTGGCTGTGTCCATGTCCATGTCCATGACTATGACTATGACTATGACCGTGCCCATGTCCATGGCCGCCAATGCCCAGCCAGGAGCCATGCAAAACGAACATCATCCTGGAATTGGGGGGGATAGAAACACTTTAAAGCGGCTCTTTCAATGACTTGAGTAGGAGAACGCAGCATACGGTTCGTAGTTCCTGGCCAATTGAACCTGGTTGAACAACTTACACAATATTGATGGCAATGCCAATCCCTGATATGGACATCATCACATTCACATCCAGCACAAAGTCCTGGGTGTATATCCGTTGAATAGCAACCACAACGAGTATGCCAGTCAGGAGCCAGATACCCAGTATGGAGGCCAGAGCACCGACAACCTCTGCAAATCGAGAATAGAAAATCATCATGAAAATGGTGTTGAGAGCCGGCCAGGTTAGGGAGCAGGGCGCAGGAGGTATTGGATTGCCGTGTCCGACGGCCGACAGATGGATTTGCTCGACATAAATGCAATTATTGCGGGCCATACTTCAAACCGTCAACCAGCTTAGGTGAAGGGAGTCCAATTGGAGCATAGGATGGCTGAGGTATTAAATGGGAGAGCCCGGGTGTCCGTGCGGCAACAACAATCCGACAACAAGTTGTCCACTCATTAGCATAGTGTCGACCGTAATTGGGTACTTACCATAGCGTTTGTATCCAAAGGACATGCGCTCGTCCGGCGGTCGGCCGCCCAGCCAAATTGCAACCAGCCCGATGACGAAACTAATACAATCAGTTGCCAAATGGGCGGCATCGGTCATAATCGCCAGGCTTCCGGCCACGTACCCGCCAAGGAATTCAATGATCTGCGGTCATTCCCATCAAGCGTGGTTATCGTTGAGCATAGTTGTTGTTGGTGTTGTTGTTGGTGTTGTGGGGGGATGAAATGTATCATAATTAAATCAACAATGCGCACTCCAGCCACAAGCCAAAGGAGGTATTTGTGTGTACGTAACCGTGTCGCTGTCGCTGTCACTGTCACTGTCCGTGTCCGTGTCCGCGTCCGTGTCCGCTTTCGAGCACTCACCATGAATATGCAGCAGAGGGAAATTGCGAGCAGAATTTTAAATTTGGCCTCCTGTGCCGATTTGCTCTTTAGGTTCGCACCAAATCCCGGCTGGGAGCTGCGGCATTCCCTGTCCGCCCCCATCTCCATCTCAAATTCCATTCGCGCTGCAGTGTCATGCTCGTGCTCCGAGTGCTGCAAGTGACCGCACAAATTGCTTATAAATATGAACGTGTGTGCGAAGGGGCGGAAGCCGCGAGTACACTTGCGGTCAACATATTGGGACACCCCCACCCCTCCCCCTCTATGTACTTATGAATGTATGTATACCTGGTTGTGGACACTGATTAAGCATTTTTTCAGAGTCCCTTCTGGGCCATGACTTGTTCTATGGAAACCTACTACTATCTGGCTGATCCCAGCTGTACGCATGTATCTGCCTCTGGGCCCTTGTATCTATGCATATAAATAGGTCGTGGAGCACTTTCGTTGCATACCACAGAGGGTGCGCGCCTAACTGCTCTTTCGGATACTGCCTTAATTATTAACAATTAGGTTCTGCTCACCAGATTGCTGGCGCTTCCTTCGCTGCCGCCCAGCAGCGGAACTTCCCACGTCTGCTCTTCCAGATCTCGGATAACTTTACTTCCTATTCCTGCCACTCGATGGCTGCTTGCGAGGCTGTTGTTGTTGTGGTTGAGGTGCTCCTGGGGGTGGGGATGGTGATGGTGGTATTTTGAACTATCGTTGGTCAGATGAGCGGCTCCCCTGGCAGGCAGTCGGCTGTCATGGAGCTCCTGCTCGCCGCCCGACAGCGGCTGATTACCATCAAAGTAAGGCGAAAACCTCTCATCGTAATCATCTTCATGGGGCCCCGTGGGGGCTTCGGCGCTGTCGAGCTTTTGATATTTTGACATGGTCTCGGTCTTTGGTCTCTGGTTTCGGTTTCGGTTTTGCGGTGCTCTTCTATCTTTGATAATGTTATTTGTGTGTGTTTGTGCGCCTGTATCTGTGTGCGTGTAACTGCACTGATTATAGCCTTTGTTTAGTTAACACAATGTGGGCATCCCATTTATCATAATTAGTGTGCGCACTGTGCCCCGGCATCTGTTAAATGAAATCAATCTGATTCAGGCATTACCCGTACATTCGCGCAGCACCCTGCCCGCGTCCTCAGGCAAGCGTATGTGAGTACATTCTGTGGAAATGTGGAATTGTTTAAATGTCGGGATGATTCAACCAAATATATATGTATGTCTTAAAGCATTTCGGCCTACTTTGCTGCTTTCATGCGAACTCCCATAACCCCATGGATTCCACAGTGGTTTTCTTTTCTTGGAAATTACCCTCAAGTCAAAGAATAAGAGGATTCAATGAGACCCTCCCTTTGCTCTCCAACAACCTATTTTTCAAGTATTTATTCAGGAGTACACTTCCACTTGTTCCACGCTCCAGGCAGGGAGTTGAGCCACATGCAAAACCGACATAGTATCTGGTCCTAGTTTTGTGGCTATCGTGTGATGTGTGATATTGTCTACTCGAGTCGATTCGTTGACAGTTTCTTTTCAACCTTTGTTTGAATGCTTATCAGCGATAATTGGTTGTTTGCATGTGTGTAGTGGTTATGTTTCTGGGCCTCTTGCCGCTGCCGCTTCAATTTTTTATCGTTCGGCTTGTTTTATGTACATTTGTATGTGGTCGCTCCACTGCCTTGGGGCACTTAAGTTGCGATAAGCCCCACGTTTCCCCCATTGGGGTTGTCAATGCGGCAACAGCGAAATGACTTGGAGACTTTGATTAACTTGTTGGGTCCCGCTGGTGCCCACACACACACACACACACACATATAGTACGATACAACTCCACTCCACTTCCAGTTTTCCAGAGTCTGTTGCTCCGAGAGCGCAAATACTGTTTCCAGAGTAGGGTAGGGAGCACTAATTTATTGAGGGGCAGCCACTTGAAGTACATATACATACATATGTATGTAGTACATATATTTGCCTGGCGTCTCTCGATAAACCAACGCGATAAGATAAGCCTTGTTGGATCAGAATCAGCGGCGGCTGGGGCACCTGGTAGATCGAAAAGATCGCGTGGAATTTCCACCCTAATGCGAAAGCTGCTTCAGATGGACTTTTCCAGCGACAGTGTTAGGGAAGGGTATGCTCCGAGAGCTCCCTTGGGCGGCTGACACATCAAGGAAATGTCCGCCCTAGAACATTCCCACTTAGTCCGAACAAGGAAGATGTCCCACAAGAGGGGTTTCTATGCACACACATCGTTGGTACACAGTCTACACAGACACAGGAATTATGTTATATATTCTGACTAATTCCCATTGAGTATTGATAAAAAATACGTGCGTCTGGAGTACTGACGTACTCCCTATAGTCTCAAAAGCCGACCGACCTTGCGGACCTTGAAGAAAAGATTTCGAAACGAATTTATTGTTGACAGTTGCTCTTTGATTTGTTCTTGTTTTCGTTCCTATTTCGGTTTCATTTAATTTCCATTTATAACAGTTTATTTATGGGGCCAGGCAGAACTGAGAGCGGAACGTGCTCGTGGTGGCTTCTCGTGCTCCTGGCATATTTTCCATTGTTATTTTTAGTCTCAGGGAAATGGGAAATGGAAACAAAAACAGAAACCAACATTGACGCTGGGGGAAAGTGCTGGGCAAATCGAATTTGCATTAACTTTTCCCACACCGCCCCTGCTCTCTGCTGGCGGTAATTGCAATAAAAAAAGGCCAAATGCTAAAAGAAAACACACAAAACACCAGCGACTAAGAGAAGAGAGAACGTGCATTGACCTTCTCAACAGGTTTTACTCTCCCAGTGCGTAATGAGCGTGATTAGCGCTCTCTTTGCATCAGCTGCAGATGCTGCTTGCAGTCTGTTTTTGTTATACCCTAGCAGAGGATATAATTGTTTTCACCACAGAGAAAATAATTTATGAAACTAAAAAGTATATTCTTTACATCGAGCTGTAGGAAAATAGACTGGAATATCGCACAGCTTTCGTGGAAACGAGCGATGCGCAAGGAAAGGGTACGCAAAGCTTCGGCACCCAAGGCAAGCTTTTGTCTGCCAGCACGTGAAGCCGGCTGCTGAGTCAGAAATATTGGTTGGAGAGGGAGAGAGCGCAACAGCGATCAAGGGCAAGGGAGTGAACGAACCCAAAGCCCAAAAAAGCGTAATTGAGATGTTCCCATTCTTGATTATTATTATTCTATTCACTGCATTTTTCGTTTCGTTCTCCAATTCTTAGGCTTGCCTTCGACATTTTGTTGATTACTTATGTAAACACCGAGAAATGACGAATGATATTTACAGTTGAGTCGGCTTCGTTTTTGTGATTTTTTTCAACCTTTAAGTTTTTTGTCTGCTGAGAACCACTAATTTACACTCTGCACATTGCAATTCGCATTGATAGCGGTTTTTAGATAACTTTTTGATTGCGTTTCCTTCTGAGCCCGACAAACACTTTTTAGTTTAACAATTTACGATCGCAAGTCGCAGCATTTCTCGCCGTCAGAAAGCAAGCGCGCACGTTGTCAGCGACGCGTGAAGTTCAAATAAGCAGCGACTACGGACGACGACGACGCAGCCGACTACAGTTAGACCAGACAAAGAGACACAGCGAAAGAGAGAGAAAGGGAGAGCGAGAGCGTTAGCGACTAAAAAGAGAACGTTTGGGCTTTTTGATAGCCTCCCGAATGATAATCACTGAGAGGTGGCGCTCGGCTAATGTTCTACGCCAAGATGTATTTATTCAGGGTGAAGCATTTGAGTCGCATAGTTTGTTTGGTGGCTCTCTTTTTGTAGTAGCATGTACAAAGTATAGCCCATCTCGAGTACACGAAACAACGACCTTTGTATTTTTTAGGGAATATCACTTTTAATAAGCAAACAGTTTTGTGGGATTCCCCACATTCAGAGTGCGACGGTGCGAATTTTTTGAACTCTCCCCCTTAGATAGATACACCTTGATTCTGTTCGCTCTTTGAGTGCTTTCGCCCCACTGCGAGTGACTCTCAGCTGGGGCTTCCCATGAGGGAAATAAGATCATCACAAGATCAGTCTGCCTTTGTCGCTTGTAAAATAATATTTTGTCTGATTTATTCGTATCGTGTCGGCGTTTGTTCGGAAAAGTGTTTATTGCCTCTGATCGGTAAGCAAACAATTATCCATTTATTTCGATTCATTCAAGTGTCGAAAAACAAAGCCCATGCGAGTACTGACTGATAGGGGGTCGGCGTGGCTTCTGTATTGGATCAGACTGCCGACTCCGAGTGTTTTCTTTTTTGCGCATCCAGAATGTTCAAACACATAAATATGTATGTACATATGTATATAAATAATAAATAAATATGAATATATGCAACGTAAAGTTAATCTCAATTGAATCAATCGGGTAACAGAGATGGCCATATGGAATGATGTGGAAAAAATATATATGAACTCTATATATGTTACACAGTAGTACGTAATATATACATATGTATGTACAGTGCCGGAATTACGTGGTATGCCAACACGTAAAAACTTTTCCGTTTACTGCTGTTTTAAGAAAAAACAATATTAATTATTAATACACGCCGACCTAAGGGCTTAATCCATTTTTAAAGGGGTGTATTAAAGTACATCTTTTTGTGCATAACACGAACCCGAATTGACATGCATCCCTCCAAGCGTCTTTATTTTCCAGTTTAGAAAGCCAAATTTCTCCAATTTTCCCTAGTCCCTAATATCGTTTGACTTGCGTAGACAGTTCTTGTCGTATTCCATTTGGTTATTTAAGAGTCAAGGGTTTAGAACTTGTTTCTTAAAAATATTGTACAAAATATTACAAACTAATGCTTGTAAAAATGAGACATTCTTATAGAAAATTGGTAATTTTATCGGATACAATTAATTTTCTTTTGAAAATCGCAATGGAAAATCTCTTCAAACAGCAGTAAACAGAAAGGATATTTCTGTGGCAACACTTACCATAAGTCCGGCAGTCGATTTCATTTTTCAAACTTTGTGAATGAATTATTCAGCGAATAAGTTAGAAAACCAACAATTATAAAGCTATTAAAACTGTTTATTTAATGAACTTAGTTCAACTCGAGATGAGTTACTAATCGGAACACGTAGATATTTTATTGAATTATTTCAGCAATTAACTATAGTCAACTTTCCAGCTGTCCCAGTTATACAAGTGTAGAAAACCATGGAGATGGCGGATGGCGGTTGGCGGTTGGAGGCTGAATCGCGCATTTAAATATAAAGTATCCGTCAAATCGTTTACACGATATCATGCTCACGGATAGCTTTGGCTTTTTGATATCCTTCGCTCTTTTGTAACTGATATTTTCACTTTACAAGTAGAATTGTATCTCTAAAAAACGTTTTACGGCCCGCCCATGGCTTTATTTGGGGCCCAACGTTTAACGAAAATACCACGGAAAAGATAAGATTTCAATTAATAGCTGAGCAGCTTAAATGGCTCTGAGTGCTCAAGTGCGCTCAGACAATTTTGGGATATTAGGTTGCTCGGAGGAAGGAATCGCCATAACTTCAAAATTGCTACTTATCGAAATTGTTGAACACGAAAAGTACAATATCCCTGGTGGTCCCACCGCAAGATATGCCAATGTATGGTCTGTCTACCTATCCCTGTCCCTGTCCATCTTTCTGTCTGTTTGCTCACCTGCCTGTCTCACTCTGTCACAGCCTGTCTCCGTCTGTTACTGCCTGTCCCCGAAGATGAACCGCAGAAGCGTTTTGAAGCCGAGCCGAATAAAAATTCCGAAAATAAATTAAATTTCCTAGGAATTCCAAAGGCATTAGTAAGGGGGGGTTCGGGTACGCTGTAAACACGAGTCAGCGCTGTTGCGTATACGCCCCATTGGCATGGCATTGATGAGGAGGTGGATCGGAGCAGGAGCAGGAGCGGCAGATGGGGCTGGAGTTGGAGGTGGGACTGTCTGTCAGCGTGTCTGACGAGCTTCTTAGACATGTCGAATATCTTATGCAAACGCTCCCTGCGTTCCCACCCATTTTATGTCTGTCTGTTTGTCTGTCTGTCTGTCGTCTGTCAAGCACATCTTCCTCTTTGCCTCGATTTTCCCTTGAAACTATTGACGCCCAGTTGGCATTGATGATGTTGTTGATTGCGTTTGTTTGTGGGCTGTCTGAAATTCTTACCTCAGCCCTGCTGTGCCCCTGGGCCTGCCTTTGCTACACCGTTTGAGTGGGTGGGCTTGACAATCAGTTGCCAGGCAATAATTTGTGTATAGCGGCAGGTTAACGATAACTGACAAACATGAGGCACAGATTAAACATTAAACATTTAACTTCTGAACCTAATCGCATGAGAAAATGCCATCAGTATGTACACTCGCAGGTACCACGTATAATTAGGAGAGACAAACAGATTCCGCCTCCGGCATGACGGCGCTACTCAGGCCAATCTCAGCAACGGGGAGACTCCTTCGTGTCATAGACAAACGGAAACATCAACCACCCGCGTAACGAACGAAAATAAGGAGCCACTTTGCCAGCAAAAAAGGTGAAACACACCCCGACTTTCGTATCATGTGTCCTGGCCCTGGTCCAGGACTGCGGGACGGAGTCTTTGCAGGGGCCGGCAGGCGACAGGCAAAGTGAATTTAATACAAACCACCTCAAGTATTTGAATGACTTTGGGGCTACCCCTTGAGAGTGGGTATGTGTGCTCTTCTTTGATATGCCCTAAGGCCAGAAAGGCCAACGAATGCGGTATCCTTTGTGTGCAGATGATCTCAAAAGTGAGAGCTAAGAATGGACTTTATATTGATCGGTGTGTTTGATTGGAATACTAGAAATATCCTAACAAACAAACAATCAAATAATACCAATTTAATCAGAAAAGTTGAACTAAATGATTCTATAGATAGCGTATAGAACCAACAAACCTTATCTATAACTAATACTTTGTAACTAAGTAAATATTCACATATAAATATATAATATTTACTTTTTTCTGTGCACTTTATCGTACTCTTGTGGCGTAAGCCCATCGCCCAAGTGGGTTACCCTGCCAATGGGCAGAGAATCCTTGGGATTGGTTGTTGATTAGGCTGGCAGGGAATCCATTGACGCCACTGAGCCTTTTTCCGTTCGCTTTCTCCACATGGCCATAGGACGGGGACCGTTTTGTTCGTCTGAGTGTGTCTGTGTGTGTGCGTGTCCGTGTACGTGTGCATTTTCCGAGCTTAATTGAAAATTGAGTGCTTAACTTTGATTTTGCTTTCGGCGGAAACGCCACTCGAACTTCGACTTCGCCAACCAACCCCATGATTGACTGGGTGACTGGCTGGCTGAATGATTGACTGACTGAGTGAGCCAGTGCTGGGACTGCGCCCCCCCCCCCGTGTGCCTGTCTGCTGCGATTGTTGATTGTTTGTGTGCGGCTTTTGGCACGTCGAATTTTACAGATTGTCACATACAAGGCTCCGCAAACACACACCCATGCACATACACGTACATACATATATGTGCTCTGTTTATTTTTGAACTTTTTCCCAATACAACCATTTTTTACACCCCTCTCTTTCTCGCTCTTTTTTTTTTTACCAACATCTTGCATCGCATGTGGCTGCGGATGGAAGCCCTATTTTTTTGTGTGCACGATACTTATGGACTGCAAGAGTATACTGCAGCCAAGGAAATGTATGTGACAGTGTTATCGGGCCACCAAATAAGTTGCCAGGGAACCAGGACTTCCAAGGGAGTTTCAATCTGTATTTTCCCAATGACACTGAGTGCTGGGTATCGCACTGTCGGTGCCCTCGCCTGAAGAGCTGTTTTCTTTATTTTGTACGTTTTTTGCTGCTGTAGTTTGTTTTAAAATTGACAAATTGACTTGCTGCCCGACCTATTCCCCACCACCAGCCCCTCCTAGGCGTTTTTTTAAATCGGGTCTGTTGTTTGGGAGCGTGCTGTGTAAAGTGAATTTATTAAGCACTTTGGGCTGCATCGACCTTTAACCGGCGAGTCGTTCAAATCGTTGGAAATGCAAATCGAATTTAGTTCTAGTTGTAATCGTCTGGAGCGGGAGCGGGAGCGGTAGCGGTAGCGGGAGAGGGACAAACACGTGAGAGGAGGGCCACTGAAGAGAAGAGAGCGCACATTAGCACTTCCACACTCTCTGCTCTCTGTTTTCTGTTTTCTGCTCTCTGCTCTCGCCTCTGTTGACACATGCAAGCGAGCGTCTCGGGCTTTGGTTACTTTTTATCTGTCTTCAACCCTGCGTGGCTGTGATGGTTGCGACGGTCAGAGTGGGTGTTTAATTATGCAGCAGATTCCAAACATAATGTGTTTGTATTTGCACTCGGCTGTCGGCTGTCGACTGTCGACCGAGGTATATTTGAGGATGTGTCCGTAAAACCAGGTCAGGTAGCCTCATAGGAAAACGACAGCAAATAAATGGCCCATGACAGAAAATAAATAAACCGTTTTCACACAGAGCCACAAAGAGGAGAGAGGCGGTAGT